TGGGGTTTCTTTGCAGTTTGTCCACAGTCAGAAATCAGATTAAGGATTGAGTCTTATCATATAAATCTCTGACTCTTTCTACTTGATAAAGTTGTCTGAGCCGTGCACACCCACTCCCTCTATCCTGGTGACACAAACAAACCACGTAAGCCGATTTACTCTGTCAGTATTGGACAACAAAGAGTCCCTTTCGGCTGAACAAGTCCAGACACCTTTGTGCTCTTTCAGAGATCTGACTGAAACTGGACCGTCTATCATATGCGTTATGTACGTTGTTTTCTAGACCAATGATCTGTCGAAGCAAGTCAACATATGTCCCGTGAAATTTGTAAAAACATAAACATGTCCCGTCTCTGCAGTTGTCAACATCTGTACCATAGCCTGTATATGGTCATACGTGTGTCTACAGACACGGATGAGGTTTTGTAGACTTGCGTAAAGCTCCTACTTGCTTCACTGCCACCATGTGCGTTGTGTGGATGTCACAACACCCCTTGCCTCCCTCCTCCTAATCATCCCCCAACGCCACTGTGAGAACACCTCACCCCCTTGATTCCCAGACATAGACACACCCAATGTACAATCTCACGTCCAATCAGATCACACGCTTCCTGTATCCAAACTGCTCTCAGTATTTCCCTCCTAAATATGGTTAACTGTCACTTTTCAAAATTATGATGAAGCTGTCCTTTCCCTGGAGGAAACTAAACTCCGGCATAGTTTGCTTACCAATAACTGCTGGGCAGATGTTAAAATTGGCTACTTTAATTTAACAGGAGTGCCCTCGCAATGAAACATCCGAATGTTGCTCCTGACTTTCAGCGAGAACATGAAGTGATCATAGCTATTTATTTTCTCAAGGTAACACAAAACTCTTTTGTTCTGTGTTTCAAACCCCAACCCTCTGTAGTTGACACATGATAATGAATGTGTCATTGCTCACGGCCCCAAAGACGACACATCCTAAGATTCTCAAAAGTGATTATTTGCGTTACAAAGGCAGGTGCTCAGGCTGGACACAGCAAATTTTACTGTTTAAGATAAACAATACCTTCACCTACAAGTGATCATCACAACAGTGTGCTAATGAAACCATGACACCTTCAGTGAGTGAGCCATCTTTCACTGCTCATCGTGTGAACAAGCTCAGGCTCATCAAGAGCTAGACTCGATTGTTTCAATATACAACAGCTCCAGGTAGATTTAGGTTATGGAATACTAAGAAATTACAAATCTTCAATAATACTTTCAGTAGGACTTATGTTATGAACGCTATAACCTTCTTAATTGCTCAGAGACACTGTTATGGTGGATTATGCTTTTCTCACTACCACATGGACAATGTGGCTAAATGTTGAGGCAATAAAGGTACAATAACACCTGTGAACCACAATAGTTCAAAGTCATAATAATAGAAAGGTTGACTATTGAAAAGAGGAAATAAGTGAAGCAAACTGTGCCACAGTGATCATTCCTGTTTTTATATGTGCTGGCTTTGGGTAAAGACTGGAAAACTCTAAACTGTATCCATGAACAGCTAATCGTTCAGTAAAGCACATAAAACAGTGTAACACCGCACACTCACTCTCCCCTTTTACCCAGATCAATTGATTTCGCCACTCCTGGACAGCTCCTTTGGAGCTCTGAGCTGTGGAGGACTGATAATATCCTGGTCGTCCTTTAGCCGTCGGTGGCATAATGAGCCTGGAGACGAGGCCTGTTTGAAGTGCTAATCATCTCATCGTTTCTCTCATCTCACAGTGGCTGTGTGGACGTCATCTTTGCACTCCTTTGATCATGTGTGGTCATTGACGGTCACTCAAAAAGTCATTGTGTCCCTCTCACAGATGGTAGATTAAGATACAGGTTAAAACTGATCACACACGTTAGAAGAGACTACTTCCAATACTCCCAACAATGGCTCGAAGCTCCTACTCTTCAATTCAACCTTTGGAAATTACTTTTAAGTCAACAAAAGCCTCTCATTATCCATGTCTTTGAACGTTAACAGAGAGAACTGGAGTTTCTATTTTGACTTCTCTGTGTATTGCTCAATGGCACCGGGAGCCCAGCAGATGCATGGAGGTGAACTTAAGCTGTTAGCTGTCACACATAGATATAACTGCTGTTGCCCTCAGGCAGCTACTCATCAGCAGGGTGAATTCCCATTGGCTGTGCTTCCAATCGAAACCGACAGTTTTTGTTTTGACAGAAATAATGGAAGTTTATTGTTTTATCCACAGACTAGCACATTAAGTGTGACTGGCTGGTTGTTTTGTAATGCAAATCAGTTAATGCAAACAAAACAGGAATAGAATGGGATGTTAAATATCTCTTGATGTTGCACGATAACAATTTTGAATAGAGATTTTTTGGGCATTTCTACCTTTGATCTTAATTTTGACCATCCAGTCATAATAAGACATACAAGTGTGTTTAATTCTAAGGAGCCCATAGTTTGCTTGGAAGGAGCGAAATACAACAAAAACATAGATTTTATATCTGTGAGAAGCCACCTTCTCCCCTGTGTATAACTGTTAAACTGCCAGTTTAGGTGGCCAAGAAGCAGCAAGATCTAGCCAATAGGCTTTGTCCTGAGCCAGGCGGACCTGTTGGTGCACCTGCTGATTCCCAGGCTTCCTTGCCAGTCTGGGACTACAGTGAAACCAAGAGTGATACTGGCCCTGAGCCAGAAGAAGAGCTGGTTGACTACTCCTGACTCAGGTGCTAAAAGACCTTGCAGGAGGACCAGCCTTCAGTGAGATGATGAGAAAAGTGTGTGACTAACCATGAGAAGAAAAGGAGGAGGAGTTCACTGAAATCATGGGAACCTAAAACCTGTCTAACCTAAAACGTGGCCTTTCCGTTGAAGTAGCGCATTATGATTTCACAGCATGACAATATCCGTGTTTGCATCATGGAGATTTAGCAAAGGTTCCTTGCTTTATTTTTCAGTGAGAGAGAGTTCCTGAAAGACCTGGAGCTATATTCAAGTACTTCATAACATAAAACGATCATTCCAACAGTAGTGTTTAACAACATCAGGGAAAATTTCAAGGCTTTCACAGCCTCAGGATGAATGCAGTCTGAATTATTTCAGTCTTGGCGCTATTTGCTCAATTTTGTTTGCAATTTTTTTAATCACAACATTAAGGAATGGTTCAGATTAATTGCTGGAAAAAAACTGGGAACTTGGCCAAGCCAACTGGTGCAAATCCCATAAACAGGAAAGTTAGTCAAAAACACTAACTGTTAAAAATGATTTACTGAAAAAATGGAACATGACAACAGAAAACTGTTCATATACCCAGGTATGGTTAGAAGAATCAGTCAAAACTGAACCAAGAATTTTGTTTGAACAACGGGAGATTTAAACTATAACTTTAAGAATAATGCAGTGGATAGTGCACAAGCTGTTTTCTTCTTTAGTTTAGAGGTTAGCAGCTTTTCACAATATCAACTGTGTTTTTCATGCAGATATATGAAAATCACATGTGAGAAACAGTACTCAGTTAACTTGTTGAAAACACATCCAATCTGCAAATTCTGCCTCTCACAGGAGAAAATGCCCACCACTCAAACTCAAGTCATTTGAGCAGAGTGTGCTCAACAGTAAAAAAAATAATAATAATAATAATCTTTAATCATGTCTATATTTATATTTCTTTCTTGAAAAAATTCCGGGCTGGTTTTCTTAGCTTCTTCCTCGTCCAAGTTGCCATTCAGAATTCATAGTGCAACTTATTGAACCACACTACTGAGTTTTTTTCTTAGTTTCTATAATTGCTTTACATCCCTGAATCATATCTTTTGAGACAACTTTTCCATATCTGGCTTCTTACTCTGGTGCTGGTCATTTAGTAAGGCCTCTGGTTAAAGAGAAAACAAAAATGTGCATCTCAGTGTGGCATCTGAACAAATATCACACAGGGCATCACACTGAGGGACGCAATGCATAATTCATTTCTTCGAAAACATTTATCCTTTCATCCATTGTTGACATGAAAACATGAACGTAGTTTAAACATTTCTGCACGCCAAAGAGGACTTTTCTTTTCCTGTGAGAGTGGCCTCACACCAATGGCCGTGGCAGGAACACCAAGCGTTCATGAAAGTCAAATCAAAGTTCATTGTGGGTCCACTTGTGACGGGGTGTCAGATGACAAAACACCAGCTCCCTCCAGTCACCTCCACATATGAGGTCAAACGTAGGATGTCCCGTGCTAACCCACTGAAAACAGAGGTTCAAACAGAGTCCTGACACATTACCACATGATGGATGGCACGCTGACTAATGGCAAACAGACGGCTGACATATTGGGGTGATGTGTGCTTTTTATCCTTGAGCTCAGTCATGACTCACCCGTCTCTGGACAAACGCGCAGCAGAGCTGTCACACCTCGGAATATATCATGACCGTCTCCCTTCTTTGTCTTTCCCTGCCATCTAACCTCCTGTTAAGGCAGAAAGACCCCTCTGTCCATGTTTATTTCCCCCCAGGATACACTTTAAAATAAGCCCAATAGACCTTATTATAGTGTTTGAGGCTCACCTCTCTGACATAAGCCTATATTGCTTTTAGGTTTCGTAAGCAATGTCCAGCAGCTCTTTGTCATGATAAAGAGTCTGCTGATAAAGTTTATTCCTAATCAGTGAATCTGACTCAATCATCCTCCTTTGACCTGTCACTAAAAAGTCCCTAGTCCTTTGGAAAAGACACATTCAGACGCAGCTATCAGTCACAGCATGGCACCGGGATCATGCGGATTGCATTAGAGCCGATCGGCCCAACACACAGCGGGAGGCCTGAGGTTACTTATCATATGTTTTGTTTTCGAGGTGGTTTAGGAAAACTACCTGGTGATGAATTGTGAGGCTCCCCGCGGCATGTACCCTCCAGTGTAAATTACCTGCCACCATCAGACGTGATAAGTGGTTGTGAATTGCACAGTCACAACACTGCTGGGGAGCCGCTCTAAAAATATACATAACACAGAGATGGAAGTTGATCTTCGTTTATTCACATCACATTGCTCACCCATGTTAAAAAAGACACACAAGTTTGTAGATTGTGTTTGCTGGGATCTGCGACAAGAGACGTAGACAAGTATCAAAATAAAACACATTCAATTTTTCTCTTATGACATAGCTGTTTCAACCACCGGAAACATTAAACTGGCTTCTACAAGAAGCATAGCGCAACTCACACTTTCACAAGCACCACATTTGAATCCATCTGAGTGCAATCATTACATTTTGATGAAGAATTTACACTTGCATTCACAAAGAGGCTGTAACGCACCCTCTAATTCTGTACTCGCTTGGGTTTCTGAGGGGAAACAGTGTATATTTTTTTGTAAACTTTTACATACTTTTACCTACACTGCTGCTGAGGAACACCAAACTGCTTTTCATTGTTCTTGTAACAGAGACAACAATGATATTCTTTTCTTCTCTATATCGTGGATAAAGAGGTGAGTAAGGCAAACTGGTGTTGGCGGTGGGGAGGATCTGCTGGGTGGAGGCCCAGACTCCTACAGTGCTTGCTTTTACAGATGCAGATTGATGAGAGTCGGGGACAAAAAGCCAAAGGTTACCGCTCTCCTGCAACTTTTCCCCGCAAACAAGAGGATTTTCAAGCCTGCTTCTCTCCTGGCTGAAAGATTAAGCCAGTGAAGATACAGAACTCTCTAAGAAAACAATAATATTCCTCCTCCTTTGTATCACCCGGTAATACAAATGGGGTGTAAAAGTAACAGCCAACTTGTTAAGATTCTTAGCCGGCTAGCTAAGACTTTAAAACACCCAACCAAACCAGACAGGGAAGCTCTTGCAGGAAGGCAAGAATGCAGCAATCCTTCCTGCGACCAGAACCTACAGCTGCTGCATATAATTAGACTGGCGGAGTCTCACACCCATCGGCTCGAACACACAGTCCTGACACTTTCCGTTTTGGCCTCGCTTATGTTGAAGGTTGCAGACGGTGGCAACGCAGCATGCAAATTCACAGCCTTTTACATATTGGCCTGGCCTTTTTTCTCTGTGGCTGTGCTCAGCCAGTCAATACCTTCCAATCTCCCATAACTTCTCCCATAACTTCCCAAAAGTAATGCATTAAAGCAGGTTTTGTGAAAAGAATAGAAATGCTGTTTTTTGAACAGTGAATATGCATCAGTCCGATAGAGGATGCAAAAGGACATGCACTGTGAACGACCCAGAATCCTCTTGATCTAATTCCAAATTTCTTTTGGCATACAATACAAAAATGAATCACATTTGTTTGCAAAAGCTGAGTAAACTATCAATTGTATGAGTGATGAAAGTGAAAGAAAAGCATTAAAATAAATTAAACATTTTGTCCAAAAACCCACAGGGTAAACATAAAGAGTTCAGATGAAGCAGAAGAACTTCTTCCAGCTGCACCTGGAGAAGGCTTTGGTGCGCCTGTCCGAAAACCTCCTCTTCTTGCTCTTGCGGGCTTTGTTCTTTATGGCAGCAAAGATAGCCGCATCAAACGCCTCCTTCAAGTTCTTCTGCGTCAGTGACGAGCATTCAACGTAGTCCGTCGCCCTGATCTTGTCTGCCATGCTCCGAGCACGAGAGCTCAGGACTGGCTTCACTTTAGATTGGTCCAGGTTGATGAGGACATTCACGTCCAGCATCAGGTCCATCTGAGTCCCGACAAGAATAATGGGCGAGGATGGGTTGTGGGCCCGGATCTCGGGGACCCATTTCTTAGTGATGTTGTGAAAGGAGGTGGGGTTGACCATGCTGAAACACAGCAGGAAGACGTCCGTGTGGGCATAGGAAAGGGCCCTGAATTCATCAAACTCTTCCTGCACAGAGGACAGAACAAGGGTTAGTGTCAGCCTAAGTCCGCACTGACAGAATGGAAGAACGACTGACTGAGAGTGAGTCACCACAGTGACAGCTAAAGATCAGCTATTAACAAGCATCCAAAATCCTGTTACTGAGTCACACACCGGATTAAGCAGCGACGTGAGAAAGACTTTGTATCTAAAAGTTCACAGCTTTTAATAATGAAAAATAACTGTAAATTTGACATCCATCTGATGAGATTTTATAATACTGGGATTTTAAAACATCACAGTGATATATTTTTCTTAAAAATTTGTATCACAAGCAAAAATACGAGTAGACATACCTGTCCGGCAGTATCCACAAGCTGAATTCTTACTGGAGATCCCTCTACTTGGACCTGACCTGTTGGAAACCAGAAAGCAGGTACAATTTCTTAGTGACTAATAAAAAAAAACATTCATACATTTTGGGAATTCAGGGCCAATCTGAGGGACAATTTGAGAAAGAAATATCAAAACAACTCACCTGAGAACACGTCAAACCCCGTCTGCTGGTACTCTGTCGGGTATCCATTAGAGATGTAGCTGACAATCATGCTCGTCTTCCCGACTGCTCCGTCTCCCACCAGCATGCAGCTGATGACCCCGGGGTCCAGCTCATCTTCCCGGGTAAGCCCGCAAGCGGATGGGACTCGGGACTCGTGGTAAAAGTAATCCATCTGGGGTGGCATGTCGAGCAGAGCATGAAACGCCTGTCTGGACTCTCTCTCTCTCTCTCTCCCTTTCTCTGCTGACCGGCGGGTAGCGTATGTGAAAGAAGATACTGGGAGTCAGCTGGCTTGTCACTCTGCAGCCTTCACCTCCTCCCGGCCGAACGTGTCTGAACTGAGTTCTGCTCAGCCTGAGAGGCAGCAACATGTGTCTGTCTGCTGGGGGCGATTCCTCTGCCATTCGAACAGGTTGTGATTTGCATAGACACTCCCACTGAGAGGAGAGACGGAGCGCAGCGCTTTGAAGGATGACTGCATAGATATAAAGAATGACTCTGACACGATTACCATTAGTTAGGGCTAAGTTAGAACTAATTGAAAGCAACGAAAATTCGTCATTCGTCATTAGGACCTAACATAAAGAAAAAGAGCAATTGATTTATTTGCAGAAAACTGTTATATAAATAGATCAGAACATATTTTAGATAAAGTAGGTCGATTTCCAGCAAAGCTTTCCAAGGTTTCTGCACGGTTCAAAAACAAACCCAATTCTAATTACGGAGAGAGGGCGCCCCCTATCGTCAAAGAAGGGACCACATCCAAACAGATCACATGACTACATGTATCACCTGATTCTGGTGGTCCACCCTGTGTTGTGTCCACGGAAGCTAAACTGGACGATATTGGAACACGAATTATTCAATATACTATATTCACGTGCTTATGTGGCTGCGAAAAACGTATAATGTCCATATTTCCTGTAAGCTGAGAGGACAGCGGAGAGAGAATTACCATAGCGAGCCGTTAAACGGTGGACTTTATTGTAGCTAGCTAGCTCCCTAGCTTGCTTCATAGACATGTCGTCGGATTGACAACAGGCTGGTCATTCATCCTGGTTTATCTGAGCTAGTTTTTGTTTCTATTTTGCTTTGTTCGTTTTACGATTGATCATGGCTTCAATTCTCGATGAGTACGAGGACTCTCAAAACATTAGGCAAAGTTCGCAGCAGCATAGCCGCTTGTCTCCGGCCAACATCGGGATCACGCACTCAGGTAGGTCGCTGTCATCCTCAGCCACAGAGCAGGCTGCGTACTAAAAATCAGAGATGGATTACACCGAGGCGTCAATCGGCTGGAACACTGCTGTTATTCACACGAACCTCTTTTCTCCCCGAAGGCTTTGTGAATGTAAGACTCGAGGAGGAGAAGCCAATATTTAACAAACAGAGGATCGATTTCACTCCACCCGAGAAGATAAATCATCTGTGTGTCTGCAACAATCAGCTATGCATGAGTCTGGGAAAGGACACCTTATTGAGGCAAAATAATCATTAAAACAATGTTAATTATTAATCGTGTTCGCTTGGTTTTGAATATGTTTTTTTATATTGTTGCTGTCTTACTTCTTACAGAATTGACCTGGCCAAACCGGATCAACCCAATCAAACTGAATTGGGAAGAAAAGAGGACAGCAAAGTGCACAAGCTATTCTTGGATCCCACTGGTTAGCAAATCCACAACAATTTGTCAGCTTTCTCTTAAGTAAAGGGGCATATAACATAATTAGGGAGCTTGTTATTGCTGTTGAGCTTGCGCACCAAACCCTCAACCTGCCCACCCAACTGTTGTGCATAATTCATTAGATTAGCATTGCACTGTCATGATTATGACAACATGAAAACAGCAGCTATATCCTCCTCCATCTTTCCCTCTGCAGGCTCCCATCTGCTTATCAGCCTGAGCACCAGGGAGTGCCTGTACCTCAATAGGAACACCCAGAAGGTGCGCAGTTTGTCCCGCTGGAGGGGCCACCTCATTGAGAGCGTGGGCTGGAACAAGCTGCTGGGCAACGAGACCAGCACAGGACCCATCCTGGTCGGCATTAGTCAAGGCATCATCTTTGAGGCTGAGATCTCTGCAAATGAGGGCAGCCTGTTCAACACAAATCCAGATCAGTACTTCAGACAGGTCGGCCATATTGGCATTTTTTTATTATGTGCACTTTATGGTCACTAAATGAGTTCACTCTTTGCAAAGTTATATGTATGGAATGTTTTTGTTTTCTGATCTAGGTCCACTCCCTGGAGGAGGATGGCAAACCTGCACCAGTTTGCTGCTTGGAGATAGAACGAGGCCTGGAAAACAAGTATTTTATCATAGCCACCACCCGCAAACGCCTCTTCCAGTTTGTGGGTAAGGTGCCCGAAGGCTCGGAGCAGCAAGGCTTCAGCTCCATCTTCAACCAGAACCAGGACCTGCTGCCCAGCTTTCAAGAGTTTCCAGCCAACATGGGATACAGTGAGATCACCTTCTACACTTCAAAGCTTCGTACCTCCCCAAAGGCATTTGCCTGGATGATGGGTAATGGAGTTCTTTATGGTCAGCTGGACTACGTCAGACCCGATTCTCTGCTGAGTGATGTGCAGGTTAATATCCTCTGTACTTCTGTTTTACATTATAGTAAGTTCCCTCATTTACCCACATGATTTGATACATTTTCTGAGTATTTCATCTTTTTTAATTGAAAGGTATGGGAGTACACTTCGGACATTGACCTAAGCCTCAACAGACCCATCTCCATAGTGTTGACACAGTTCCACTTCCTGCTCCTGCTTCATGACCGTGTCAAGGCCATCTGCACTCTGAACGGACAGGTGGTATACGAGGACGTGTTCCCAGATAAATTTGGCACCCTGAAGAGGATGATCAAAGATCCAGTGGGCGGGTTGGTGTGGATTTATACTGAGCGGGCGGTTTTCAGATATCACATTCAGCGCGAGGCCAGGGACGTCTGGCAGATGTACATGAGCATGAACAAGTTTGACCTAGCCAAAGAGTACTGCCGTGATCGTCCCGAGTGCATGGACATGGTGCTGGCCAAAGAGGCTGAGCACTGCTTCCAGAATAAGCGATACCTGGAGAGCGCCAAGTGCTACGCGCTGACACAGAACTACTTTGAAGAGATTGCACTCAAGTTCATCGAGGCCAAACAAGAGGATGCTTTAAAGGAGTTTTTGTTGAAGAAGCTGAATAATCTGAAACAGAGCGAGAGAACACAGATCACCTTACTGGTAACCTGGTTAGCAGAGCTCTACCTGAACCGCCTTGGGCAGCTGGAGAGCGACGGCAACAGCCTCATCTTCCAGGAGACTCGTACCGAGTTCCGCCAGTTCATGAGCAGCTCCAAGCACAAGGAGTGCCTGTTCAACAACCGCAGCACCATCTACGACCTGCTGGCCAGCCACGGCAACGTGGACGACATGGTTTACTTCTCAGTCGTCATGCAGGACTATGAGAGGGTGGTATCTCACTACTGCCAGCATGACAACTACAGCGATGCACTGGAAGTGCTCGCCAAGCACTGTGATGAAAAGCTCTTCTACAAGTTCTCCCCCGTCCTCATGCAGCATATTCCCAAAAACGTGGTGGACGCGTGGATTCAGATGGGCAACAGGCTGGATCCTAAGAAGCTCATCCCAGCTCTAATGAACTACAGCCAGATGGGCAGCACCCAGCAGATCAGCGAAACCATCCGCTACATGGAGTTCTGCGTGTATGAGCTGAACGTGACAGAGGAGGCCATCCATAACTACCTGCTGTCGCTTTATGCAAAGTACAAGCCAGACTCTCTGCTGTGGTACCTGGAGCAGGCAGGCACCCACGCCTCAGAGATCCACTATGACCTGAAGTACGCGCTCAGGCTCTGTGCAGAGCACGGCTACCTGCAAGCCTGCGTACTGGTTTACAGGATTATGGAACTGTATGAAGAGGCAGTAGATCTTGCTTTACAAGTAAGTGCTGAATGTGCTTTGTTTAGCTGCACATGCAAATAATCATGTATAAAAAATCTTTTTATCAACAAAACAATAACTTTGTCTAAATTCCACATTTTTATATCGTTCATAGGTTGATGTTGACCTTGCCAAGTCATGTGCCGACCTGCCGGAGGATGACGAGGAAATGAGGAAAAAGCTTTGGCTGAAGATTGCCAGACATGTGGTGCAGGAGGAGAAAGATGTAAAGAAAGCCATGAACTGTCTGTCCAGCTGTGACCTGCTGAAGATAGAAGATATTCTGCCGTTTTTCCCAGACTTTGTTACCATCGACCACTTTAAGGTCAGTTGCATATCCTTTTGCTTCTTAGTTGATTAACAGTTCAACCACATGTTTAAAATTAGCTATTTTTTTCATTCTAAAAGTCAGCTTAATACACAGTTGGAATAAAAAATGAAATCCTGAATAAGTTGATGTAGTTAATCTTTTGTTCATTGTGGTTTGTCAGGAGGCCATCTGCAGTTCTTTGGAAGAGTACAACCAGCACATTGAAGAGCTGAAGCAAGAAATGGAGGAGGCCACAGAGAGTGCTAAACGAATCAGGGAGGACATCCAGGAAATGAGGAACAAATACGGTGTTGTGGATTCCCAAGAAAAGTGTGCTGCTTGCGACTTCCCACTGCTTAACCGGCCTTTCTATCTGTTCTTGTGTGGCCACATGTTCCACTATGACTGCCTGTTCCAGGTAAAAAGGGCTTCCAAACTGCCTTTTCATTCAGAAAACAAATGCTTCACAACACCATTATGCATGGTGATAATTCTTCTTCTCCTTCTGCTTTGTAGGAAGTGACACCGCACTTGTCCTCATACAAACAGAGTCGTCTGGAAGATCTACAGAAAAAGCTGGCTTCAACAGCACAATCCTCCAAATCACGCCACCGCACGGCACAGAAAGAAGAGGGAGACTCTTCCAGTCTGGGAAAGGGCAGTGCTGGCACAACCCGCGAACAAATCATATCTGACATCGATGACATCATCGCATCGGAGTGCGCGTACTGTGGGGAGCTGATGATCAAATCCATCGACAAGCCTTTCATCGATCCACAGAAATTTGAGGAGGAGAAATCCAGCTGGCTTTGAATAAGTAGCTCTCTATGCTTTTGGTGTAAAACAAACAGCTGCCTACCATTTCTTTGTGTGTTCGACTAACCCCCTCGGGTGGAAAGGGACTTCACCCGATTGCCTGTTGGTAGGCCTACTGCTGTATTCTTCAGTTTGCTGCAGCTCGCCGTGCCAGTAGTGTTTAAAGCTGCTGGAAAGATCTTTGCACTGTGTATGACAGTACTGAGTTGAGAATGGACTTGAATACTCACTGTAAGCAATGATCTGTTACAATACAGTCATCTCCAACATTCCCTGGTTCGTACACGACATAAATGTGCCTGAATGTCTAAAAAAAAAACTACACAAAATGGTAGATCTCCACCATCCCTGTTTTATCTTTTTGCTGCGTTAGCTGTTAAGTGTTCAGTCTCACGCGCTGTGTTTATTTAACAGTCTGACAGGTGAACTTCAAAACTATTATTTCATATTAAATACATTTAAGCGCATCACCTTTTGGAGAGATTGTTGTATTTAAAAATTTGTTAAATAAATATTTAACAAATAATTGTCCCTCGGAGCTGTCTTGCATTTAGTCTTTGTGTGCAAAAGGATTCTCCAATACATCAACAGTTCTTATTCAACGGAATAAGAACAGTAAGAGAAAGTAATTCACTGATGGTTTTGAAGTTTGAGATTATTTCAGGCCACTGAGAAGGAAGCCATCATTGCTACTCCAACTAAATGCACTAATGCTTTACAGTTAAAACTCTGCTAATAATTACATCATAAGCAGCCATGAATGTTAATAAATGCTTATTATTAGACACTTCTAAGTTGTCAGTTTTTCTCTGAAAGTGTCCAGCTGCCTCATGTTATTTTCCACTTTTAAATATGCAACAAATCCAATTCCCAAAATGAGTGCAATCATGTGCAAAGTGCATAATCAAGATTTTATTCACAGTTGATAATAGAAAACAAATACTATTTAACTTTGAATACAAGATAATGTTGGTAGCAGCACTAAAAGATTCTATCTTCTTTTCATAAACTAGGAGGACTGAGGGAATCGGCTGCAGCTAAACTTGGTGATGAATATTTTTTTAGAAAAGACTCCAGGTCTTCTACAGAGTTGTGTTACCTTTGTCAAGTTTTGTATTCTATGATGTGTCAGATGTCTTGAAATGGTGGAAGACCTTCACAAATCTGCTTGCAGACCTTTCTATAAGGAAGCATGATGTTGTATTGGATTTTACATATGCTGTTGCAACAAAGAGGCACCATGATCATTCATCTAATTATGTTGAGAACTTTCTATCTGCAGCCTTTAATTGCAATCAAATACGAAATTAACTTTTTATTGTCCTTTTGTGTTTTAAATATTGTCTTATGGGTTTTCAATCAGTGCATAGTTACTTTTCTTTCATTCTTTCTTTTCTTAATCTAATAAAGCGTCCCAGGTTTTTGGAATTAAAGTTGAACACTGAACCCAATACACATAGATATTAAAGCAAAAACATTTGATGACTTGCATGTACAATATTGCAGCTGTCTGACCTTACCAAAAGTGGAGTTCCTTTTGATGACGTAAGACGTAGCTCGGTAATCTTCGCAGAGTACAGACCCTATTAATCGATATCGAGAATTAATCATTGCATTAAAAATTTCTGTACATACATAGCCTAAGAGGCTATATATGATTTAAGTTCGTGTAATTCTATCAGCGACAGTCATTATTGGAATATTTCGATTGAGTTGCGCCTTCACAAATACCGATGGATCAGTGTCTGACTCTCTGCAATTGATTAACGTGCCTGCTCCTTGCTGTAACCTCGCCATGGCGTCGTGTCTCTACTCTCTCAGTAACAGAAAGTGGCCGCCTCTCTGCTGTTGCTGCCGACTCAAAGCTCACAGACTCGCTCGGCGCCTCAAACCGCCATTTTGGAGTCCGAGAGCCGAGAGTCGGTAGCAGCGCCGAGAGAGACTGAAAGGGGGACACGGGGCCGAGGTGAGAGACTCCACAGTGGTTGTTATGGCTAAGGAGCAATGGGGAAGATGGCCAGAAGGGAGAAAGAATTAAAAGATGGGGATCACTCATTCACCAGGCTACCAAGCCTTTGCTCTTGCCCGCTACGGGGGTACGAAAGGCGCAGGCGGAGGGCCTCGCTGTTGCTGCATCGCAACGGCAAGCAAACTAATGAATTGCTATTAAACTGATATATAATACATTGTTTAGGCAGGGAGGTGGTGGCCTTAAAGAGACAGGGCCGATTTCAATACCTTATATTTATGGTGTGGGACGACGCTTGTGTCAGAACACCTTAGTGTTCGATAAGCTAACTAGCTAGCAGTAGTGTAGTTATTAAAATGCCACTATGAAGATGAAATCGCTGTGTAAGTTGTTCCGTAAAACAGGAGATATGTCAGACAAACCCCCAACGTTGCATGACATATCCCAGGTGGTTAGCGTAAACTAGACAGTTGTCAATGCTTGAGCGTACAGCACCTTGACCCCGTTACTACTATCAGTGGTCGGAAGAAGCTAACGGTCGTTAGCTTTTATGCTGCAAGCAGGTTAGCTTGCAACCGCTCAGCAACACTAGCATGTGTAACTAGCTTGCTAGCACAACATAGTAACGAGAAACGACATGATGCAAATTTCCATTTAAGTTATACACAATTCTTGGCTTTTATTCTGTTTGAAAAATTAAACGTAAACTTTTGCTTTCGTTTTATTTTAGTTTTGGCATCCATACACCAGTAAACCAGAGAACATAGTGAAGTCCATGGAAATATGCAACGATTAATTATTGGTAAATTCTGACATTTATTTCAGATTTACCATTGCGTGCCACGCTCAAAGTCACCATGCATACGTTAAAATATAAAACGATGACACATAAATAGACATCAGCTGGGTCAGCCACAGGTAGCAAAGTCTGGGCAAATTTGAAATTTTGAAATTTGAATACATCAGCAAATACTTTTTAAGAGCAAAGCAATTAACATTAAAACAAAAATTTCCTCTATAAATAATTACTGACACGTTGTTATAGCAGATCATCACATTGCCAAGGTGCTTTTCAGTGTCTTGTGACTTTAAATATGAAACTAGATTTTTAGGGAAGTTTTGTTTATTTATTTAACTTATTTTTAGATAGATTTCAATTTCCAACATTCCATACAAACAAAATGCAAAGAAGAGTGGGGAGCTAGAATTCCCTTAATAAAGTGTTTACAAAAAATATATTCCAGATTTAGAGATATCCCTCAACAAAAAGCTGACTTTTGTCTACTGAACACTGAAATCGAATGTTTAGAAAGTGACATTGGATTTCTCTTTTGCAGACTCATTCATCTTTTTCTGTTCCTCCATCCTGGAATAAAGAAAATGCCATCTCTTACTGAGAAGGTAGGTATTGCATTCAAAACTACCTTTGCAAGGACAATATTTGATACATTGGTGCCAGGACAGGATGGTTATGTGGCATAAATTGACTTTTTTTAACCTTAAAATGTTTTGGGTTATTTGCAAGAATTTAAATTTTATATATTTTTATTTTAAGTGGCAGAAATCATCACACCTACACATCTTGGTATAATCCAGGTAAGTTCCACTGAAGCAGTTGGGCCGTGAACATGCCATCATTTCCAGTGCTGCTCGTCTTGGCCTCAACTGATTTTTCCTTCTATTTTCCGTCATATCTTTTTTACATCTCTTCATCTGCAGTGACAGATCCTGCCCTGCTGGGGCAGAGAAGACTGCTGCATGGCGTCAGGGCAGGGTGGCCGGCTGGAGGTGGGGGCATCAGGGGTCTCTGGACTGGCCAAACCCCTCTACCTGCAGCGCTTAGAGAGATCCCTGAAGTTGGATACTTTTCTGCGCCAAACTGCAGCTGTTTTTAATAGAGACATAACCAGGTACAGATAACGGGAGAGCTGAGGGTAATCCATTACACATAGCGACTCATTTTGCTACTACACACATAATCCAAAGATCACAGAGATAATCTCACAGCTAAATAATCATACTTACATTTTTCTTAAAGTGATGATAGTGATGACAGTGATGGGGCAATGGGACCAGGGCTTTCCTTGGATCTCTCGGCTCAGCACACAGCTCTTACAGTAAAGAGTGAGCCGTGTGAGCAAGAGGATGGACTCCCTGACAGCAAACCCCTCAACGGGGTCCTCCTGCCAGGAAAAGGTATGGCAGGTATTTAAATAGCCTATATATTTTTTGTTGACATGTTTTTATGCATTCACTGCTTCACTGATATAATTTGCCCATAAAAGAAATATTTATTGCTTGTTTTATTGCTTAAATTCAACAGACCAAAAGGCAGACAAAGCAAGCCTCTATAATTTTTCCAAACTGAAGAAGAACCGGAAGTGGCTCAAGGTATTTACATGGATAAACGAACCAATGATAGATAATATACAAAGGTTTTCTGCTACTTAGCTACCCTGTACCCCCCTTTTTTTTGCCATATCAGAGCTATGTTGCACTGCTTGTCTTCCCTCACTCTCTCTCGGTCACCTGCTTCCTCTGTCTCCTGCAGAACATCCTGCTTAGTGACGACACCTCCGACTCGGACACCGACTCGGATGATGCCAGCTTCAGCTTGTCTCGAGAGGAGCTGCACGACATGCTTAGGCTACACCGTTACATGAGGCAGCATCAGAGCAGGTTCTACTCTGACCGAGAGGTACAGGCACCGTCCCCTATGAAGGCATCACCCGCTCACATTAGGAACGCAGGTGGGGTGTGTCTGTCTGGTGAGATCGTTGTGTTGACCGTGAACATGTCGTCATGTACAGCTTTACCAGTATCAGCACTACAGCACTGGACTCCTGTCGACTCAAGACCCTTTCTATGAGCAGCAGCGTCATCTACTGGGCCCAAAGAAAAAGAAAATTAAAGATGAAAAGAAATGTAAGGGTAAGTCATTGAGGAGCAAAGATCATTCTAGCAATGGAGAGAAATAGGTTGACATTTATTAGTTTTTTTTGTTAATTGTCCTGTCTTTTTCTTCGCAGCCAAACTGAAAAAGGTGAAGAAGAAGAAGAAAAGGGAGGAGGGAGAAATTCTAGATGAAGAGCGTCCATATATTACTAAGGTGTTTGCTAAATTTTCCCATGATGCCCCGCAGCCCGTGCTGAAGAAGAAGCACCTTACTGTTGAGCAGCTGAATGCACGCCGGCGCAAAGTGTGGCTCGCAATAGCCAAAAAGGAGATCCCGAAGGTTAGCGTGCGTAACCAAATGGACAAAAAGCCAGCTGCAAACACTGGGCAACTCAGTCTTTTTGTGTTTCTTTGTTTTTTAGTCACGTGTTTGGTGGTATTTTCTAAAATAATTTCTATTGCAGTCTGTCAAGCAGAAGACTTCTGCTAAGAACTTATTACTGACCAACGCCAAAAAGGTGAAGAACAATTTCAAATGAGCCGTTACAGACACTGTCGAGTCCCTTTTCCTAGTGCTTTAAAGATTTTTACCCGATTTGCTTCCTCCAGCTGGCTCACCAGTGCATGCGCGAGGTCCGACGGGCAGCGATTCAGGCTCAGAAAAACTGCAAAGAGACGCTGCCCCGTGCCCGGCGCCTCACCAAGGAGATGATGCTCTACTGGAAGAAGTACGACAAAGTGGAAAAAGAGCACAGAAAGAGGGCGGAGAAGGAAGCATTAGAGCAGCGAAAACTGGACGAAGAGATGAGAGAGGTGGATGACGAGGAAGTTCCTCCCTATGGAGACGTGGCACGCTCGGAACAACCTCAGTGCTGACACGCTTTCTCTCTCCCCCTCTCAGGCCAAGCGCCAGCAACGCAAACTGAATTTCCTCATCACCCAGACGGAGCTCTATGCTCATTTCATGAGTGGCAAAGCCAGCGTGGGGGTTCCGGGAGGAGACACGGCTCAGGAGGAAATCCTGAGAAAGCTGGAAGACAATGCAGCCCAGAGACAAATAGACATCGGTGGAGGGGTCATGGTCAACATGGGACAGGAGGACTATGGTATGGCTTTGATCACAGGAGCTAGCTTGGTGTTAATGACTGACATTTGTTCAATCTTGTTCTCTTCAAGGAGCCGTTGGCCTAGCCTCCAACAGCAGGCCCGTATCCTAACTTAATTCAGTCCACATGCTGTAATATTTTTGAAAAAAATCTTTTTGTTGCATCCAGCCAACAAATGTCAACAAAAAGATTCTATGTGTTTACAGATAGTGAATACTACAAGTCGCAGGCCCTGAGGAATGCCAAAGAGGCTTATCAGATCCACCAAGAGAAAGTAAGCTGACAAAAGACGCATCCTTTCAGCTCACAAACCCTGCTGAACTTGGCTGACCGCCACATCTTCTTTTTCCTCCGTAGACGCGGATGTTCGATGAAGAGGCCAAAGACAGCCGCAGCGCCTCCCTCCACGCAGCCGTAGGTTTGTCCTCGGGCGCCGGCTCCGGGTTCGGAGAAAGCTACAGCCTCTCCAACCCCTCCATCCAAGCAGGAGACGACATTCCCCAGCCCACCATCTTCAACGGAAAGCTGAAGGGCTACCAACTGAAAGGCATGAACTGGCTGGCCAACCTCTACGAACAGGTGCACATATGCGTGGCTCTGAAATGGGGAGAGTTTGTTTTGTTTTAGTGGTTTTAGTGGATGGCATTGCAGAAAAAGCTCGTGTTTTGGTTATGGAATGAATGTGTGGGGAAAAGGTCCTGAGGTCCGTGTTAAGAGTGGGTCAAAACACATCACATAGAGCGTTTGTGACTATTCATCCACATGGAATCACTTACTTTGTTTTCTTCTCATTTCTACAGGGAATTAATGGAATCTTGGCTGATGAAATGGGCCTGGGGAAGACAGTTCAGAGTATCGCCCTGTTGGCCCACTTAGCAGAGGTGAGATGGAGGGCCGGGTCAAAGGGGCTTCATCCGCCGCTCTTCTCCTAAACTTAGTGGAGCTTTCACTCGTCTCTGCTATCGTGTTTGACTCATGAAAACATCTACTAGGCAGCTTCTCTGCGCACCTGCATCCTTTCAAAAGTCACTGTTTTTTTTGCAAGTGGCAAATTTTTTTTTTACTGCATGAGCAATATGACAAATTTCATTAACGTGAAAAGCTGGTGTCCCAAATTTGTAGATCTTTTGGTTTCTTAACTGCGCAGGGTGGAATAAGTGGAATTGTGAGCTTTTCAGTTCAGCATAGCTGACAGAAAGATGCATGCTCATGTTCTTCTGCGGCTTACTGTTGTTGGGTGCTGCTCACAAGTGTATGAACAAAGACGTTGTTCAAAGCCACTGGCTGAGGGTTCGCTCTCTTCTATTGTTCCTACGCAGCGTGACAACATCTGGGGCCCGTTCCTGATAATCTCTCCGGCGTCCACGCTCAACAACTGGCATCAAGAGTTCACCCGCTTTGTGCCCAAATTCAAGGTGAGGGTCCCTTACCCTGCTGGGTGAGTGGGGAAAGGGACTCCACTCGCACATAAAGCAATCTTCTCCTCACTTTTTCCTCTTTTGCTGTCTTAAACTTATTCCAGGGCTGTTTTACTCCAGAAATCTATCCATTAGGGGGCAGTATTGCAGCATATATTTGATACACAAGCTCCACTTTAAAAAAAAAATCTTTTTTTTTACGTCTTTCCTCAAAATCTTGTGTGCATCTGCTAACTAGCATACGACAGGCTTTGTGTTAGCCACCAATCATTTATCGGGCACATCAGCATGCTAGCCATGCTCGAATGCACACGTCAACATACACTTTAGTGTTTGTTGTGCTCAGCACTCAACTACGTCCACTTTCTCAGCTAGTTTGGAAATAAATCAGTCCCAGTTTGTTTTGCTAATGAGGTGTGAAAAGAGTCTATTACACAATTTGACGATAAGCTTCCTGAGCACTCAAAACAAGACTGACCAAAAACAATGGAATGCTAGCATGTGTCGAGAGATATATTAATGTCTGGTAGATTTTTGTTTTTTACGCCTCATTCCACATCAGAGAGCAGTGAAGTGATTGGTACGTGATGCTATTCCATGCTGTTCACGCTGAGAACCTCAGCGCTGGTCTGTTTTTCCTCCTGCTGGTCGGTGGCGCTGTGTGGGGATGATGACTTCAGTAAACCCATTTTTAACCCTATTCTGTAACGTTACTGACTTGCCCATCAGGTGTTACCGTACTGGGGGAACCCGCATGATCGGAAAGTGATCCGAAAGTTTTGGAGTCAGGTAAATATGAGAATGCACTACTGTTTGATCCGCAACATCTGCCTTATTTAGTTCCGTTTTTTTGTCTATAATCCGCTCTGTCCTTAACTTTAGTTTTTGTTGTTTTGTTTTTTTTGCATAGAAAACCCTTTACACGCAAAACGCACCCTTCCACGTGGTAATCACCAGCTACCAGTTAGTTGTCCAAGATGTCAAGTACTTTCAGCGGGTCAAGTGGCAGTACATGGTTCTGGATGAGGCGCAGGCGCTGAAAAGCAGCACCAGGTAAAGCAGAAACATGAGGGAGGGGGTCTGTAAAGACACAAAACGTCCATGCACTGAAATAAATATTTTTCATTTTTATTCATGACTCATACTGCCGCTGTCACACAGATCAATAATGACTGACTCTTCTCCTAACCTCAATTTGAAACAGTTCAAACAAAGTCTTACCCAAGAAAGAATAGAAATCATAATAAGCCTCGGTATGGCACCTAACCTGCGTATGGGCGGCCTCCAGTAGCTCCTACTGTGAAACAATGTTATTGGATATGTAAAGTGAACCGCGCTGGCAATAAATCAGTTATATTGTGGAAAAGTTATACAGTTCTTAGATTTGTGTAAAAAAAAAAGGATGGAAACCTTTAGTCTGCCTCTGCAGCTAGACAACTGTGTCATTTCTTAGTTGCTTTTGGAGACAGGCCAAAATCGACATAATCATTTAAAAAGCATTTTCATCTTGAAAACATGCAAAGGCCCCTTTCACACGTTCCTAATAAATTTTGGGATTACTTTGCTAGAAGTATTCGATAGGGGTGATAAATGTTTGTGGCCTCACTTTGTGCCTTCTTTCAGTGTTCGGTGGAAAATCCTCCTGCAGTTCCAGTGTCGAAACAGACTCCTGCTGACCGGGACGCCCATCCAGAACACCATGGCCGAGGTGAGCGCTGTGTGTGTGTGTGTGTGTGTCTGTGTGTGTATATGTATGTATATGCGCAAATCCCGGCTGCCAACAGCTGAATGTTGTTGCCGTCTCTCAGCTGTGGGCCCTGCTGCACTTCATCATGCCCACGCTGTTTGATTCCCATGAAGAGTTTAACGAGTGGTTCTCCAAGGACATCGAGAGCCACGCCGAAAACAAGTCTGCCATCGACGAGAGTGAGTTCAACCGAAGAGTTCCCTCCGCTGCCTGCTGAATGTTTTCCCCCAGTTTTTCTAGTCGACAACCCTTGATTTGTATATTTTTTACATCTGTGACCGACAGCGATGTTTAATCGCAATATGTTTTGTAGCTGAACACGATGTATTGTTATTTTTTTGTTTTGTGTTTTTACTTATTTAGATCAGCTTTCCAGACTCCACATGATCCTCAAGCCCTTCATGCTGCGCAGAATCAAGAAGGATGTGGAAAACGAGCTCTCAGACAAGGTAGAGCAGCAACTTTCTGGGTTGTATTAATTGAAGCGTAATTATTACGAATGTAATATAGATGAAATTAGTTTGATCTAATAGCCCGTAGTTATAAAAGAGCTATTATCTTAATGTAAATCAGGGCTTTTTTCCCCCTCAGCTTCCATTAAAGCTGCATTCCCTCTCCCTGTTTCTCCTTGCTCACCTCACTGACACTGAAAGTGTTGCAATAAGCCTGTGAGTGATGCTTGTGCTGGCAGATCATCCTGACAGATGTTGGGCCGGGGGTCTGCTGCTGTCACAGCCGCCACGCACACACTCGCTCATACACTGTGGGAGTCTGGATGTGTGGAGGCAGAGGAATGGCAGAGTTCAGCGCTCCCCCACATCTGTCTTTTTCCCTTTCCCCTGCACCCACATGTTATCCTGCCAGCCCACTTCCTCTGCTTCTTCACACTCATTTGCTTTGTCTTGTTTAGCCTTGTTCATACCCAGTGCTAACCCGCTTCACACACACATTTCACAGTTGATTTGGATTGTATGGGCTGCTGCTCTTCAGTGTTTCTGCCTTATTAAAGTGGGATATTATAGTCAGGGTTAACAAACAGTGAAGAAAGCAGAACAGGATAGAAAGAGAATAGATCAATATTTTCATTTATTTTCATTTTCATCCTGCAATTCATTACTGCAGTTCAGGAAAGTCCTGGAAGTTAAAGATAATAATTTCGAAGAGACCCTGCATATTCAATGTGATTAACGTTTATATTTAACAAATGCTGTTGATGTCTGTGTGAGAACACGACAGTCATGGAGTCACTCCTCTTTACGTCTACAGATTGAAATCCTTAGCTACTGTCAGCTGACATCCCGACAGCGGTTGCTCTACCAGGCGCTGCGGAACAAGATCTCTATCGAGGACCTGCTTCAGTCCTCCATGGGCACCGCCCAGCAGTCCCACAGCACCACCTCCTCCCTCATGAACCTGGTCATGCAGTTCAGGAAGGTAGAAGCTTCAGCAGATATTTATCTTTCATTGAATTTTAGCAGCTGAATCTCTAACAGTGTCCGGCTTTGGTGCTCAGGTTTGCAACCACCCCGACCTGTTTGAGCGCCAGGAAACCCGCTCTCCTTTCCACATGTCCCTCAAGCCTTACATCATGTCAAAGTTCCTGTACCGCCATGGCCTCATCAGTGCTCACAGCCAGGCCAAGAACAAGTAGGTTGTTCCAGACTGAAACACACAGAAACACTTGATCTTCACAAATGCCTCCTTAATCCGTTTAAAGCAGCTGTGCTGATATTGTTTGAGTAAGTTGTGGTTCAAATATGAAATGAGTTTGGAAACACGGCATGACTTTTCTTTTTTTCCTCCATCAAATCTTTGTCCTTGTGGACATTTGCTGATTTTCTTTGGAGCTTGCAAAAAGCTATTATTCCAATTAGAGCTAACCATTGGATGTTTGCGGTTTTGCAGCTGAGATCAGACTATCATCCCAGTTTCAGTCTCCTGTCCTGTCTGTTACATTTTGGGGCCGTAACCTGGTCTGTCTCTCCACATCTTCTTCAGATTACTGCGGGCGCTCATGTCTCCCTTCTCCCCAAATCACATCCAGCAGTCTCTCTTTCACAGAAACGGTGAGCACATGTCGATCTTTTGATTGCTCCAATTTCATGATTTGACCATCATACATTGGTATCACCAGAGTTTCCCTCTTCCTGAGCTCGGCTTTTTCCCCCATTTGTGGTCTGTTTTTTTGGTCGTCTTTCGCGGAGTAGTTTCATATTCTTTTTTCCATGCTGGCTTTTGAATGTTTTAGGTGATGACAAAGGAAGCTGCTTCTCCTTCTTGCGCTTTATCGACGTGTCGCCAGCAGAAATGTCCAATTTGATGTTACAAGGCACCTTAGTAAGGTGGGTGTCTTCATCTGTATGTTGTATAAAATAAGTAAAAAATAGAAACAGATAATACTAACACAAGTTATTATATGCCTTTGCAATAAAAACTTTATTTCAGAGTTAGTGAGAAGCGTCTTCTCTGATGTTTGAGTTTCTATTTCCTGACTTCTGCAATCGATCTTGTTTCACAGATGGTTAGCCCTTTTTCTGTCCCTGAAAGCTGCATACCGGCTCCACTTTCAACGCCTGTTTGGCCATGAGGAAAAGGGCCAGAAAGATGCCGGAGTCCATGATGGAAACCAAGAGAAGCAGCCGCCCAAGATCAAGTGTCTGTCTCACAAAGACTTGATTCTGTGGCTTAACAGGCCCATGGCCTTCCCCAACACGCACACCAGTCCTGTCCTGCAGGTGAGAAACGTTCGGCTCCGCACCAGAACACCCTGCGCAGCCATCTGCAGCATGCGCTAATGCGTTACAGAGAAGTGAAACACCAGCAGGGAGGCATGTGCTGCCCATGATACCGCAGTTTCCCCCCAGAGCAGCCGTCAGAGTTTGGCCACACACAGTGCTCTCTGGCCCCGGCTTCCTCTCCCTCCTCTGGGATACAGCGTGGAACCTAATCCCTTTGCAACCCATTGCCGCTAATAGTGCTGAATTATCTCCCTGAATCTGTGTCTGTGCAGAGGAGCATTTTGTCTTCGCTCTAAAGCGGGTCACAAAAGGAAGCCTCGGTAGTTATTAAACACATCTGTCTTCTCTTAATTCGACTTAAAAAAAAAAAAGGCTTTACTTTCCATCATTTTATTTGGGGGTGGGGGATCTGTCAAGTCACACAATTTCTTCTCCATTCAGTATTTAGTGTTTTTGTGCTACAGTTGTTCCCCCCCCCAACTGCACACATGTTATAGCACGATGAACAGCTCTCTGGCTTAAAGTACAGTGATTCAAAATGCATTATTTTACTCTTATTTTACCCATGATCAATGTAAACATGCCCACAGAGCCACGGTTTCTCATGCCTCTAAACGGCTTGCAGTCAATCCCACTGTGTGGGCTGACTTTCACAGTCCAGTTAATAAACAAAGCACTGTAATTGATTCAGAATTTTGCACCGTGCTTTGATGTTCTTGAAGCTCACTGGCATTTTGCTTGAGAAATGGGTAGTTGGCAAATGTTTGAGTTGTCTCAATATATGTTATTATAAAGATCCTCAAGGCTAAAAGCGCCACTACAGGCAGTGGGAATGGATTTAATCTGCCTGTTTCAGCTACATCAAAAAGGGTTTCAGATACGTTTTTTAATCTATTTCTGCAGCTAAGAGCCACAGAATTCGATAAAAAACAACACCAATTCTCTGTTCTTTTCATTGTTATTTGCCAATATGGAATCTTTTTGTGCTTTGCCTGTAATAACCTAGCTGCCAGTTCACATTTACAGGTCACCTGGAAAAACACATCTGTTTTATTGGTCATCGCTGCAAGAGGGTTTCAGTTATTGTTTGGCTCAAAATCATTAAAACACATCTGATCAAATTCTTTCTTACAGTTAAGCACGGACAGATTTGTGTCACATGACCACCCTCCATTAGTTCTATGTAAACACTCTTGGGTGGAAAATATTCTGTTTGGGTAACTCCATCCTTTTCTTCCTTTGCTGGCCTCATGAATTTGACTTATGCAGCTGCCTTGATTCTTAGCCCCTCCACCCCTCCTTCAGAGCTGGAGCAGCTCAAGGACCAGATGAAAAACATGGGAAGCGTGCTCAAATATGAGCGAGAAGCTGAATCTTGTGGACACCTGCGGGGCCGGTCGCCTGTGTGCGCTGTGCCGACCCCAGCCTCCCACTCCAGCTGATAGAAATCACTCACTCCCACAGTTTGCTCTGACTTCTTTCAGCTTCTATTTTTTCTTTTTAAGCTGTTCTGGGCTGGCACAGCGTGCTGCACAGTAATCCATCTGAGCCATATGTGGGGTTAAAAAACAAAACAAAATTCTAACTGTAGCACCGCTCATGTCAAAAACCCTGCAATATCAACCCATTTAGTGTTTATAGGTCTGCCATTAGATGGCACTGTTTGACCACCATGAGCCACAATTAACCTGCACATGGCTGCCCTCCGTTGAAGCCTCTAGATGATCACTCATGAGGTGCAGGTTTGGGGAAGGGGAGACAAGCTCATGAAGCAGTCATCAATAAAACTGATATCGCTGCCTGTTTGTGCCTGTGTTTGCTAGGATTTGGTGTTCACAGCACTGAGACCTGGCATGATGGGACACGCGGATGTGAAGATCCACAGCAGGAAGTGTGCCACCTTCACGCTCCGGCCCTGCCAGCCCACACTGCCACCCAAGTTCCTGCTCGCCGCCACACCCAAGGTAAACTGCACGGCACGTCCAAAGGGTTCGGGGAACACGGCCCCCGTACATCCTCCATGTGCTTGTGTGGTCAGTCAGTGTGGTCCGTCTGACCGCATTTTGGGTGGTCATGGAAGCAAAAAGGGAAGCGCTGTGATCCTTGCTTTTGTTGGTTTTAACAATGAAAAGCTCTTATCTGTGAAATGCTGGGCTGGGGGTGTTAGGGTGACCACAGTGCCTTCCAGCTGCACTCAAAACAAATACAGCCTCTAAAATAGAGCTCTTTGCACTGGTTGTTCACCAGTTGTTAAGCTTCCTCTCGCCCACCCCCGAGAAACACACACACGCGGATGTGGAGAAATGCTGATTTAGTGAAACCAGCCCGCATGTAGCGGCCACCATTAGCCTCACGGCACAGAGCCTTCACTGGTTCTTACTGTCATCACACAAAGCAAATGTTTGAAACGCTAGCTGATATGTACAGATTTCTGTCTTGAAATGTAAGAAAAAAAGCCCTGCCTATGAAAACAAGCAGTGAATGATCCTCCGTTTCCTAGGTGACAGCAGTTCCCATGGAGCGTTATTGTGACGACCGAAGCGCCGAGTACGAATGGCGGGAGACGCGCGGCGGAGGGGGCAAGATCTTCAGACAGTGCTTTCTGTACGGCTCCCCTGAACTGGCATCAGAGTGGTGTGCCAGGGCAAACACCTTCCACCCAGGAAGCCCCGGGGGCGTGATGGCCCTTTACCCTCGCCATGGATGGTCCTTCATACGTATACCTGGTATGGCCAGAGTTACCCTTTAATCTTTTTTTTTTTGTCTTTTTAAACGAATTTCATCCAGGGCAGGTGTATAGTTTGGTAGTGAAGGATAAATGGAGGCCCGTGGGAGAATCCGCAGCGGGCTGTCCGGTGTCAGCGGGGTGGAGGCACACATGACCCCTTACAATCTACCGCTAACTGCTGAGATAAAGGGCTTCTGGTGAAGTTCACTCTCATAAACACACTCAGGTTATTTCCCACTGAGATGCAAGTACAGGATTGTGTCGGTGTTTCGGGCTTTCCAGCCAATTCCTGGCTCTCCGGCGCTTTATCAGAGCAGCTCGGTTTGTCAGGGGGAAAAGGTCAGCTGAAGTGAAGTGGAAGGTGATTTTCTGCCAGGATTCAGGTGATTGATGGATGTCCAGGGTCAGCGAGGCTGCCGCCTTTTTACAGACAACACGTCCGTTCTCACTGAGCCGCTCTGCCTCTCCCGCTCTGATAAAGCAGTCGATGTCGTGGATTCTGATGACTGCACTCTTTTTTCTTTTTCTCGCTGGAAATTGATGTGCACGTCCTCAGCTGCAAAGCCCGTGCAGGCCTTTCATGACCTTTGGCACCTTTATAAGGGGCTGTCGACTGGCATCATAGGTAATTAATGATCATCTGATTTAGTCCAGGTTCTTTTTGTCTTATCAGAGTGGGCCCAGCGCCGCTTCTTCCTTTACTTTTACCCATCTGCGCACGCATGTACTGGCGAGAGCACTTGTGTGTAAAAGTGAGAAACAAAACAAGTGTTTGTGTGTCTGTGTGAGAACAGTCTGAAAGTTCTTGTGAAGTTATACGCGGGCAGACAAAGCGAGGAAGTTTAGCCACTGCTCATTGTTCAAGTGCTCAGTTAGGTAACACTAATAGATGGTCTGTCTGTGTGCAAGTGAGTGTGTACAAGTGTGTTGTTTGTGTGCCATCGAGGCCCATTCAGGGAATTGTGAAATGCTCGCACGGGGCCTGAGGTGTCTCTCGGCTCAGAGCGCTCACTCTCCCACGCCGGCTGGCGTTGCACACAAACCGCGGATGGGCTTACCCCTGCCTCTCTTTCTAACGGACAGCACCATGCTCAGAAATCAGTATCTGGCTGCAGCCTCGCAGCCCGTCTGGCCTCCCACTTCTTTCTCAGCCTCAATAGGAAGGAAGTGACCCAACACTCCGGCACCCGTCCTGCGCTGAACGCATTGTTGCCACATCAAGGCTCAGATATGTACAGTAGCTCAGTTGAAGTTTCCCACCCTCCTGCTCCTCCATGCTCCCAGCCCCACACCTTAGGAACAAATGGCAGAGCTGAATAACTGTTTGTTCGAGCGCCATGGCGTGAGTAGCGCTGCCCACTGATATCGACGGTGGAATCTAATCAGAGGACTTATTAGGAATCAGGCAACGGAGGGGGGGGGACAATTGAAGCTGTAATGTTTTGGGCCACAGATTTTGTTTGTTTTTAAATGTTATTGTGTGGACAGGATTTCCCAAAAGGAAAGATGTGTTGCTTTAAAAAAAAAAAAGCAAAAGAACAAATGACCTAAATTATGTTAAGAATTCTGAAAAAGGAAGATGCTTTTCGGATATTGTGACCCATACAGACGGCCATTCTGAGCCATAGAAGAATGTTTTGTGGTGAGCCCGAATGGTGCAGCCTTAGGGGAGCTCAGCTGAGACGGGTCATCCTCAGACTCCAAAACCCAACACATCCACCACATAGAAGGTTCTTGAAAGACGGCAGTGGTGGATGATCACGGGATCCTCTCCACAGTAAAGAAAAACATCTTTCCAACACGCAGCCGAGGGAAGAAGACTCTCCAGGAGGTAGACGTATCATTACCCAAGTTTTCTGTCGAGAGACGTTCTCATGATGACAAATGCAGCAGATTCACCACAGGTTTCCCAAATCGGAAGGACACTATCGCATTTGCCCAAAAATAGCTAACGAAGGCTGAACAGATGGAGATAAAAGTTCAGCCAGACAGTATGCAGGAAATCGCGTGCTTGTTTTAAAAAAAAAACTACTTAAACAGCAGTATCCTGACTAACCAAACATGAAAGATGGGAAGAAAAACCCATCTTAGATGCTCCAAATCCCAAATTATGGCTTCCAATGACTCAGCCCCAATTATGTTTGAGCATAGTAAGAAACATAGAGTTCATCCTATGCAAGAGCGGTTATTTCTCAACCCTCTTCCTCCCAACATCCTCATTTTAAACCCCTGATATATTTGAGCTCCTTCATTTAATGTCAAATGCCTAAAATCACAATTTTTTGTGCAAGCGGGCAAATATTTCCCGACCTAACTAGAGATGCGGTCATGTTCGTTTGCTTCGCCACTCTTTTTGGTCCCTGAAAACCTTGCTCATGTTGACACCTGCATTGCTTTAACGTTCGTACGAAAGCAAATGTCAGAGAGAAACAAGGCTTTTTCACAGAACATCACAGCAGGAAAAAACTTTCCTTGCTTTCTGTGTGGCCTCCATCTCATGGTGATTAGAAGGAACCTCTCCACAAAATGATGGGCTTCTCGCTTTAGAAACCAGCTCCTGAGTCTTTTTCCAGCTTTATTGTGAACTGTGATTTGACTGTGACCACAGCCAAAGATTTGTTAAAGAGCAAAGTATTCCTGGGCTGAGCAGCTCCCTTTTTTTTAACCTTTTCTGTAAATTCACTAGAAATCATATTTGCGTGTTCAGTCTGCGTATCAATCAGACCAAGAGGGGGAGAGAGGCATGTCAGTCCCGGCCCCGCAGCTCACATTAGACTGTGGGAAATGCAGTTCTGCCTTCCTGTCCCTTCAAAGAAACCCTGCTCCCCAGCAAAATGGCAGGAAGCTTCCCCGGCCCTCTGATAGACAGGCACAAAACAACACAGCCGGCCAGCCTCACCACATCACCCGTCTGACTCTGCCCCTCTCCAGCCGCATGAAACTGGCACCGCCAACCGTCTGTGGTATTTGGCTTTTTCTTTCTTTCCTTTTTTTCCACCAGCAAAAACAAAACAAAACAGCCAGCCAAGTGTGTAAAGGGACGGCGATATCCTCGTCTAAATTTACAGCTATGAATGTGACCACAAGAAGGGAAAAAAAACAAATTCGTTAAAACTGTTCAGACTTAGAAACCCATAACGGACTGAAGGGGGAGACATTAGCTGCATTATTCCTAAAGCCTGAGTAATATCCGCTCCACTGGTTTGTGATCCAGCAAGCTTTCCTCTGTGGTGTGTGTCGGGTCTGTAGAGGCCAATGCTAATGAAAGAGTTTGCATTGGGTCGCTGTGGTGTGTGGTGAGGCTCCCCGACCAAACTTTTACTCCTTATCAGACTGTCTGTCTCTTCTCTGGCGGAAAGGCTTCTGAAAAAAAAAAAAAACTAGAGAAGATCTCCTGAGATTCAGACAGTGTTTTGGCTTGCATCCGTAAAGCCTCTCAAAGTCCTGAGGAGACTTTTCAAATTAAATTGACTTATTGTATGTATTAATTTGATTATTTACAACCCCCCCCCAATGGTTAGCTTAACTACCAGCCTCAAAAAAAGTAAAAAACCTCCCACTGGCATCTGGCTTTTAACCATCCTGATGCTGTTGCTGTTCCAAAATTAAGTTTAGATGTGATTCGGGTCAATATGCACTGAAGCAGCAAAGTAGTGTCAGGCTAATATTTCCCTCTTCAGCAGAGATGAACAAGTGTTCCCCATTGACTTATTGATTGCAGCGTGTAATGTATCATTATACAGTGAGAAGCTGATGCCTGCTTCGATCGTTGCTTCGACCTGCTCTGTGGCCCCCCATCTGTCTCTGTTTCTCACATAACCGCCCATCCATCTTGCTCTCGCTGTTCCGCTCTCCTTTATGCCGCATCTGCCTTGCCTCGCTGGGTTTTTTTCTTTTAGTTTTTTGGCTTTGGCAGCAGAAGTGGACCGGACAGGGCTGGGGACCGGACAGGGCTGGGGACTGTAGCGGCTTATTAATGAAATTAGCGCTGCGCTTGGTTGGGGAGTATCAGGCGCCAGGCACCAGGCTTGGGTTAGGGTTAATTAGCTGGCAGCACGCCTCTAATTGGGTCAGGACCATGTCAGGCCCCTGGCTCTGGCCCTACAGGGATTGAATTACAATATCAGGGGACAGACACCGGGGGGGTTGGAAGGGGTGCTGGAGGGTGTAGCGGATCTGGCAGAAAGGAGGTGGGGTTTGGGGGGGGGGGGGGGGGTTTAATCTGCCAGCAGGAGAGGAGGGGGGCTGGCTGGGTGAGTACCACTGGAGGGGGGGAACGCTGTGAAAGGGGGACGGGGCAGGTGGTGAAGCTTGATATGCGTATCCATAGCAACGGCAGATCGGTGTGACACTGCCTGCGAGTCGGCCGTGTTTTCGGGGTGCGGTCTCAACACAGTCCTTGTCTCAGTGATTTTTCCATAGCAGTTTTGTGTCCCTCTGAGGGCGTTTAAACCAGAATTTGATCAAAAGGGAGCCATGCGCCCTCCTTTCACCATCGGCTGCTTAATGACGCCTCCACAGTGTGAGCTCTTTTCTTTTTTTTTTTTTCATCACAAAAGACCGTTTCAGTCCAAAAAACGTATGGAGCTGTTCGGTTCCAGTCCCTCCGAGCCTCTTCAAATCCATTTTACACACTCGTTTCTACATTTAGTGCGCTCACTTTTGAGTGCAGTGGCCATTCATTTCTGCAGCCACATGTAGCTCATAATGTAAGCCATAAGTGTTACTTTGGAATGACACGGACCACCAAAGCCCTCCCGAATTGTGATTATTCAGTTTCTTGGCCTCTCTTTAGGGTATATGGCAGCAGCATTCAGAGTGCACAAATCACCGAATGCTGTTGAACTCAGCCACCTCTCCCTTTAAGCCGCACATTGCTGAGCTTTGGGGAGTCTGGATGGTTGCGGGGGCGTTTTTTTAATTTTTTTCAGTCTTGTTTTGAATTAATAACACAGTATGTTACAATTTTGATTTGCTTCATACTTTCCTCATAATTTCCATGTTCCTATTGATCACACAAGGAGTATCTAAAATGATGTGAACATAATGTCACCTGTGAAGTCCAAACCTGATGGATGTTTTTTCAAAGAGCGGAGCAGTGAATCCCACATAGTCCGGGCATAAACAGAATGGACTTGTTTACCTCCTTTTACAGCAATGATTGCGTCCAACAGCTTATTGTATAGAATTTTCCATTTAATGGGTTACACCATTCCAATATAAGTTTGAATCCATGTAGCGCTCAGCCACTAAAGTACTCAGATAAGGGCTTTAACCCATCTTAAAGCATGACATGGGAGTCCAGAGGCTTAAATATAATCTGCTAAACAGAAACAGATGAATGGCAGTGGGCTGAGCGGCATTGCCTTATATGAGCATTTGCGTTTCTGCCAAGCCGTGGTTTGCAGCTGGGTGCCTGTCGGCGCGGTCCGCAGGGTTAGCGGGTGCCCTTGACTGAGCAGCGACCATGGTTAGCCTGGCACCTGCGGTCAGGAGGCCCTGTCTGATCTAAACCACGACATCACCGCCACCACCACCGCTCTTAATACTGCCTCCCTGCAGCCGGAGCCACCGCAGACCCCCTTCTCACTCCGTCTGGCCCCCTTTTCCTGCCTGTGTAATCTGCTATATATCTGGCTCTTTTCTCCTCCTCATCCTATTTATTTTCCAGGTCATTCCCTTTCTTGATCCCCAGATTTGTTGGATAGAAAGATACTACGGCGAGTAGTGCATTGGCCTCTTGGAACAAACAAAGTTTTTTAGCATGAGCGATGAGTAATTGCGTGCCAAAGAGCAAATCTAATAGTGCGCCAGATCTGCTTTACATTTAGTTTGCTGTCTCTTGTTATTAGTGGAATGATAAGTTTTCATTATAGTCATTAAACTGTTTTCTGTCTCTTTGTCCATCACCAGTTTTTTTAAATGTTGCATACAATTTTTGGTTTGTAGAGCGTAACCCACTTTTCCCACATTACAAACACTTTGTCTTATCACATGAGATTACAAAGGACAGCCTTAGTTTAAATTGATTTTGTTTATTCATTGGGGAGTGCAATACAATTTTAAAGGCTCCATTCACCTGCCCCACATCAGCTGTCACAGGGATAACAAGTGAAGTTAAAGTCAGAGCTAATCCAGTTTTTAAGGAGCTTGTGTGTGTGTGTCTGTGTGTGTGTGTGTCTGGGACTGAAAGCATTTGACAGGCTAACATCACTCCACAGTGACCTGTCAGAGAGCTCGTCGGTACCTCCCCAGAGTATTTTGCCCATTCATCTCTTCTATTAGTTCCTCTTTAACACCTCTATAGGACCTGACCTTGTTTAGGGGACTATAGCGATGAGGTCATAGGTCAGGGTTCAGTCCAAGTACAGATTAGCATACAATAATGCTGCTTAAAAGTCAAGAGAGACCCATTTACATTGGTGTCTCATTGGATTATCAAGGGCATTGTAGTGCAGATGTTTATTTTATAGGAGTATTTTACAAATATGTGACAGGACGTTGTCACATGAATGCATCGCCGCAGCTCCAGTTTACATTTTCAGGGCATGTGTTTTGAATGAATGAAACATGATTTTAACGTGCTTGGTTTCGCTACATTCACAAAGCAAGGAAATAAGACTGGGAAATATTTATCAGCGCAGGTTTTCACTGCACAAAAGGCCTCGTGAGTAAGTGTCCAACTCGAGTGCAAGATGGCCAAGACGGCCTCTCCCACGGGGACTCTCTGGTAACCCTGGCCCGACCCTGTCACCTGACCCTGGCCCGAGGTTCTTCCCACTCAGGGCCATGACCTCCTGGTCAAACTCCACAGTGTGCCTGTCACTGGGTCGATGGTAGCCACGTCTTTCTTCCTTATTCTACCATTGTGACAGATGATGTTAGATCCACATCAGCCGTACTTTCAGAAAACCGCTTCAGCCACAGACCCAGAGTCAGGGTTGCCCCCTAAACTCCTCTCGTTGGTCATTCATGGGAAGGCCACAGAAAACCTGATGCAGTGTCAGCTGTAAAAAAGGAAAAACAGGCCTATTTGTTCATCTTTTGTGCCTGTGTGTGAAAAGGAGTGTACATTTTTTCTCACAGTTTCTCTTTCTGTCTTTCTCTCTCTCTCGGATGTTCACCCTCTCTCTGCTCTGGGTCAGTAAGGGCAGCACGCTTACTTTAAACAACCAGCAGATCAGGGGTACATTTAGGAGGATAAATCCCCAGGCTGATCCACTTTAGTAATAATCTTATCAGGGAGTTTAATTTATTTCGTAAGAGATGATTATTAAATTTATTGGGCTGCTTTCTGTATTTCCTAGTGAGCATACGTGTTTCCTTATAGTAGTATTCTTAACTCACAAAGAAGCAAGAAATGCAGCCTCACCAGCTTTGGTTTTTCCTTTGTGTAAACATGACATTTTCAGTTAAAACCACAAATACACATTTAAACTGTGTGTGTGACAATGGTTTTTCGGATTGAATTATTGACCTTTTCTTTCAGATAAGGAGAGCCTGATCACAGAGAGCGGTAAGCTCCACAAGCTGGACATCCTGTTGAATCGGCTGAAGGGTCAGGGACACAGAGTCCTCATCTACTCCCAGATGACGCGCATGATAGACCTGCTTGAGGTACAAACACACACGTTCACATTGGCACAGGCATGTCTCATATCTTATTCGTGATTTTTCTTCTTTTAAGAGCTCAGCTGTTTCTGATCACACCCCCACAGTTTGTACAGCAGGGCTTGTTTATATATTGTCATACATCAGCTTTCTGATAAGGTGTTTATCCAAGTCCACTCCCTCTGGTTTGGGTATTGTGCTCTAGTACCTGTAACGAGCCAGCCGGTCCCTCGTTAGCGCAACCATTAGATGCTTAATTAACAGGTCAGGGCTAATTAAAGGGGTCTCATCTGCGGCTGAGGCAGCCAGATGGAGGGAACGACGAACGAGAGGAGGTGGAGGGTAGAGGAGGCGATAGGAGTGGCAAGGGGATTGAGGATAAAGGAAGAAAAGGCAAAGACTGAAGACAAAAGGACGCACAAATGAAGATATGAACATACTTACATGCTTTCCCCATACTGAGGTCAAGACTAGAAAAAGGGTGACTAGGGTCAACAGTTTCTCTTAGTAATTTTATCTGCTTGGGTTTTGTACCATGAGCCGCTTATTTGGGCGCATAGTCAGTGCAGTTATGCTATTTTCTAATCTTTTTTTTTTATCGAGAGCTCTTAAGATTTTATTTGAAAAAAAATTAGTCAAAAGGTTTGTTTGTTATTTCTCCTTCTCCTTGTTTTCAGCCTCTGGTTAGATGGAGTCTGATTGCAGGACAGAGGCTGTCAGGGTTCAACTTAAATCAAAGATGAAATAGGGGGATCCACTCCCTCTGTTTGAAACCGTGCAAAAAAGTTTTGATGATAATTGTGCGCCAACAGTCTCGAGGCAGCACTCTATTGTTGCCTCCATATTTGCTGTAAACATCTCTGTGGAGCCAAAAGCCTCTGGAATGATGTCATTGGGAATTCCTTCCCCTTTCACACAGCGCGGTGCTGTTTTCACAGCCAAATCTTTTGATGGCAGATGGACTCGACCCAGGTGGTTAAGGACTGTCTTCCTGTGTGTCTGGAAAACAGTGGGAATGCCTTGTGTTCAAGGCCTTAGAAAGACAGCAGGGGCAAGAACTCCAATGGTGACAGGCCATTCGGTTTTAATATTCCTCTCTGGCCACTTATAGTTGTCCTTTTGCACCATGATCTCTTCACCTAATGAGGCCATTTGACTGCGCCTTGTGTATCAGAGAGGTCATTGTTTACGAGTGGCCTCATAATTGACTGGAAGGGAGCGAGGGTGTAGGGGTATGTGACTGCATCTCCTCCCCTAATGAAATTACATCATACATTCACCCAACCTGGGTTTAGTTTCCCCCAAAAGAAAAAAGAAAAGAAAAAAAACTCCCGCAGATGGAGTTGATTTCCTGAAAATGAGACTTTGACTAAGAGACAGTGAAAGAGGGGCTGATGTTAATCTCCATCATTAGCGCCAGAGTTTTCGCCGCCCGTCAGCTGCCGGTTCTTCTGGTGACATCACGCCTTTGGGTGACGGATGATTGACATCAGGACGGCCCGGAGAAAAGAAATAACGCCGTTTGCTTTCTTCTGCCGCAGCCAAGAGTTGAGCCCGACCGCCAGGTCACTGGCTTCTTTTTGCCTCTGGCAGAAACTGAGGTGGAGATTTTGTGAAGGGTTTAATGAATCTGATTCGCTGTAGTCAGCTGCCATGAAGGTGGATGCACCGGTGCATGCGTTCGGCTCTGCATGTAAAGCAGACGTATCAGGCAGGAAACGGAAAACAAATCCCTTTTCCCATCTGCTTCGACTCCAAAGTATCACCTGATGACTGGGCCTGGAAAGCACATTTTCCCAACTCAGTATTATTCATAATGGACAGTTGACAGCTAATGCATCCCCTCAGATGGACCCAAAGGTCTACCTCGATTTATAATATTTGCACTTGAAAATGAGTGAAATATTACAGATCCACAGTCACCTATGGTTAGCACAAACTAAAACTGGCTACAGGAGAGAATTGCCAGCTGTTTGGGTTTAGATTTCAGAGTGTTTGTACACGTCCGGTGTGCGCTGCAGTCCTGCCAAGACTTAAAGTAAATCACATTAAAGTAGCAGGGGTTGGGAGATTTTTGGGCGATCCCCTTCCTGAAATGTCGAAATTTCTGACTTAGACCATTTGAAAGATTCAGAGTAAGAATATATCTGCGGCATTGTGCTGGCAAGTCATCAGAACCCAATTCAGCAAGTTTAGCAGCATCTAAGCGAGCTCCGGCCTAATGGTCCCTAATGCACTCTTCATTCAGAGCATATGGGTAGTTGGGAACCCAGCCAGACAGACAGAGGAGGGCAGGCCCTGTCGGGACTGAGGCCCCATGTGTGTTGATGGGGGTTTGGAGGGGTCTCAGCGAACATGGTGTCATATCATTGATATCATAACTAATTACTGCGTGAGGTGACTTGTGATGAATATCAGTGATTGCGACAGGTTCTTTGGTTTGGGGGCACTGACATGTTTAATACTTAAGGTTGCAAGTTCAGGACATTGCTTGAGGAAAAAAAGGAAAACATTAAACCTAACACCCCACGCAAGCAAACACAGAGCAGCTAAGCAGACTTTGGGGGGAATAGAGTATCAAGGACTGAATTTCCCAGTGTCTCTCTGGGATTGGGTTGAGGTCTCAACTCCAGCAAACGCACATTAGAAATGTGGGATTTGGGTGTTTTGGACCAAAAGTTGTTACCACAGAAAGGTTCAGTCATTAAAAATCAATACTTCTTTCTTGGAACTTAACAAACAGACTTGTTAAGCTCATCTGCTTCTCGGAGAAAAGCTGAAACTGAACTACGTCTTTAAAAACCTGGTCAAGTCAACGTACGGTTGCAACAGCCGCTCCCCAAGCGGAGACTCGACAGCAGCTTTTGGCTGTTTTGCGCCTTGAATTTCAACCAGTTTGGATCCCAAAAGTTTGTGGCTTTGGAAATTGGCTTTCGACATAATGCAGAAACATTAGGAAGGGCAGCCTCATGAATCCCAGCTACCGTGGTGCTTTCGTCAACTACATGCAGGACTTGATCCATTTTCTTTAAATAAAACCTAACGCAGTTGTTTTTGGTTACCAGCGGATACTCAGCAACTTTCTCTTAGATCGTTTGTGACATCTGTGCTCCAGGAAACATTTGCTACCACTTACATAGCGTCTTTTGTTCTTTAAAACACACAGATTGTTTGGAAGCTAAACACTTTAGGTATAATGACTTCCTTTTTTTCCTATTCATTCCTTTATCCCAGGAGTACATGGTTTATCGTAAGCACACCTATATTCGCCTTGATGGATCCTCCAAGATTTCTGAACGCAGAGACATGGTGGCCGACTTCCAGAGCCGGTGGGTAAAGTTTAAAAAAGATCCAGTATGTGTGTGTGTGTGTGTGTGTGTGGGGGACCAAAACATCCCTTTTTGCTAATAAGTTAATGTAAATCTGCTCCTTTGTATATTTTAGCAATCAGTGAACAGTTTAATTTAATGTCCAGATACTGTAAGCACATGTGTATGTCAGTGTGTCCCAACCTCCACCCCCCCCCCCACTCCAACCTCACCTCGGCTCTGGATTGCATTATTGCGCAGCTCAGAGGCGCCAGCGCTAATCCAAGTTTTTGGTTTTTGTTGCTGAGCAGCGGTACTCCGATTGGAGGGGAGGGTGGTGTTCGGCCACTGTACGGGGGCGGAGGGTAGGGGGGTGGGGGGTTGTTTAGGCATGAGAGACTGGAGGAAAATTCTGAACATGATTTATGTGGAGAACCTCCACATAAAGTTTTTCCACATAAGGGGGGGGGGGGGGGTCTACCCATGTCTTCTCTTTAAGGTCAAACCGGACACCTTAGCTTACCTTCTAGATGAAATGCAATTCCGTGGCACAGCGCATAGATTTTTGGACTGGAGCTGAAGTTGTAAATACTCCTTTTCTCTCCCCTTGAGCCTCACTCCTCTTCTTCTCTCCACTCTCCCCTCCACAGAACGGATATCTTTGTATTCCTGCTCAGCACGAGAGCGGGAGGACTTGGCATTAACCTGACGGCTGCTGACACTGTGAGTAACATGCAATCTCTGGGAAAACACAAAGCTGATACAATATCAGTTTGAGCAGCGCTAACATTTCCTGAACAGATCAAACACCGGTCCGTTTGCACAATGCCGGACGACTGGGGTTTGAGCATTAATGAAATGCTGACAAAGTGATTGATTATTCTGGATGAGAGTGTTCTAAATGGGTCTAAGCATCGCCATAAAACTGATATCTGTGTTTTAGTGGAATCACCCGTTTTGTTCCTGTAGCCCTGCTCAAAGCAGATTAGGTTTAATAGCAGTGAGTGAACCCAGGACATCTGTCGTGTTAAAAGGCGGCACACTCAGGATAACTCTTTGCTGTAATTAGACTCACAAGTTGCATCTGCTTCATATTCAAGCTGTCGTCACACGGATTTGCACAGTGTGCTGCACCGATATTCAGGGTTTAAAAGTTGAACGGGAAATTTAAGCTTCATTAGCGGAAAATAGAAGTTATTTCCTTTTCTTTATTCCCTCCCCCAGGTTATCTTCTATGACAGTGACTGGAACCCCACCGTGGACCAACAGGCCATGGACAGGGCTCACAGGCTGGGTCAGACCAAGCAGGTCACCGTCTACCGCCTCATCTGTCAGGGCACGATCGAGGAGAGGATCCTGCAGCGGGCCAAGGAGAAGAGCGAGGTCTAGAACACAAGCATTTCTCCTTCTGTGACATAAGACGGGACGGACGATGATAAAAACTGACCGACTATTTCTTTGAACATCGATTTACGGTGGAGGACTGACGTTTTTGCTTCTGTTTTACAATCAGATCCAAAGGGTGGTCATCTCTGGAGGCAACTTCAAACCAGACACGCTCAAACCCAAAGAGGTGGTGAGCCTGCTTTTAGATGACGACGAGCTAGAGAAGAAGCGTAAGTGCAGACCGTCCGGTTTCACTATGCACGCTGAGCACTACCACAGGGAAGAATGACCGCGAAACACTGGTGTGTCTCTGTCTGTGTTTAGTGCGTCAGAGACAGGAGGAGAAGCGGCAGCTGGAAGAGTGCAGCAAAGTGAAGGAACGCAAGAGGAAGAGGGAGAAGTACGCCGAGAAGGTACAGCGCAAACATGTGAGACTTCACTTAATATGAGAGAGGAGTAAATTAGATCAGGGAGGAAAGAAAAAGACATTTTGGAAGCCCCAAGTTTGGCAGAAATGTTCATTTTGCTCCCAAGTCTTTAGATGATTCCGTTGGGATCTTGATTTTTCTTTTGATGAAGCCTCATTAAACTCCAGTGACAGCGTACAGAAAAATTCCAATTCAAGTGGCGCTGAAAACGGAAAATCAGGGTTGGTTCTCTTGGGGGCACGAACGCAGCCAGAAAACACAAAACGCTGTTTTTACTTGTGTTTAGTTAAGTTGTAGTCTGTGTGTTTCCTCCGTCAAGAGATTGATTGGACCCTGAAAACAAAGGCTCATGGGATGACGTTCACTACCAGATTATGTGACTCAGACACGTCATCACAGTTAGAAAAGTCCAAAAGTCACCCAAAGGCAAGGGCGTTATGTCCAAACCCGATCAAGTGACCTGGCCCTCTCTGTGATCAGCAGAAAAAAAACGAGGAGTCCGAGAACAAGAAGAAAAGGGAGGTGAACCTGGTCATCTCCCACACGGCCTCGGCCGACAACTCCAACCTGTCGGCGGACGGGGACGACTCCTTCATCAGCGTGGAGATGGACTCGGCCATTCCTAGCCCCTTCAGCGAGGTGAGGGCATCCGTTCAGCGCCTCAGCTAGCAGGACAAGATGAGGTGTCATCACCGGCAACTGTGGCTTTTAAACTGTCTTTTTTTTTTCACCGTTCCCATGTTTTTATATTTGCCTCCCTATATATTTATATTTGCCTCCCTCCAACCTTACGTCCTGTATCCTGTTATCCCCGATGCTTTTTTTTTTCTTTTTCCACCTTCTCTCGTCTCTCCTTGCACCGTTGCTCCCTTGTTGCCTGGTGCTGCTCGGACCCTGCCCCCCCCCCTCCCACCCCGCTCCTCTCCCCCGTGGCGCTCGCCCTCAGCCTGTGTATATGTCTGTGTGTGCTCCTGTGCGTGGGCAGATCTCCCTGAGCAGCGAGCTGCAGCCCGGCTCTCTCCCCCCGGACGCCGACGCTGATGAGAGCAGCAGCGACATGCTGGTCATCGTGGACGATCCCGTGTCCTCCGCGCCCGCCTCTCGAGCCACCAACTCCCCGGCATCCGTGTCGGGATCGGTCTCCGACAACATGAACGGTGAGGGAGAACGCCTCCTGAGCAGATGGACGCTCGACAGGATATGAAGGATTTGGTGCCTTGTTAATTATCCATCCATCCATTATCAATACCGCTTATTCCCTGTTGGGGTCGCGGGGGAACTGGAGCCTATCCCAGTGGTCAACGGGCGAGAGGCAGGGTACACCCTGGACAGTCCGCCAGTGCCTTGTTAATTAGATGGAAGTAAAGGCCTGACTTGACTCTAGTTTGGAGAATTCTCATCCGTGTTCGTTTTCTGAGAAGATCCATAACATTTGGTTTTAGGAACACAGGCTGATATATAAAAACCTTCAGAGGGAAAAGGCATGTCTCTGAAAGTTTCTGCCACACCATCCAACGCAGAACCAGCAGCTAAAGGCCGGTTGTGGTCCTGGAAAACCTGTAGAATAAAGAGGGCGTTTTGCCTGCTATTTTGGAGCGAGGAGGTCAGCTGCATGAAAACGTTCTGAGTGGAGAAAGGCCACATCTGGAGTTAAACGCTCAAAATCTGGTAGACGGAAAACAGTGGCCTTTAAATGCCCTGGTCGAGCTATAACTTCAGCTCAGCTGTGAGCAGAGCACCAGTACAGCGCACACATGCATCTGTTTAGCTATCCTGACATAGTTTAATAAGCTAAAGCCAGTTGAGCCATGTATAGGCTTAATGTGGCTGTTCTCGTTTTTTTTAGGATTTAATTTGACGTTTTTTGCAATGTATCAGTATGTTCTGGAATCCAGATAGATGGGGACTATACAGTGTTTTTGCTTCTATATCTGAGCTTTGGATCTGCTTCAATGAGGTAATCCCTCCTAAACACAGTGCTTCGCTGAGACCTATTTAGAATTTATTTTTTATTTTTTTGCAGAATTAGTAAGATTATTGATGCCCTCTGAGAACTGGCACCAGTGAGCTGGGAGAAAGCTGGTGCATTCACAGAGCTGATGACGTTTTAATGAAAGGTTTGGGAGACAAAATGAAGGGCTGTAAAGGAATCTATCTGTGAATTTGGACAAATAAGCGAAAATGCAAGAGGAGTGAGCGGGGCTGATTTTTGCGTGCCACCCTGACGTATTGGGCTGTGTACCGCAGCATTTGAAGTGAAATGATCCAAATAAAAATGTTTAATAAGTATAAAGAAGAAGTTGAGACCTTTCTAGAGATGTGGGCAGTTGGAGAGGCCAGGGGCTGCTTGGGTATTCGCTGAGGCAGGATCTGGCTGGGATTCTGCAGACAGCGTGGAAAACAGGAGCAGGGTTCCTGTTAGCCATCGATGAGTAATGCTCATCTTTAAGCCTTCCGTAGTGCAGGAAATTGACCTCAGATTCATGGACAGACTTGGTCAAGTCATGTATTCTGTGCTGATATCAGTATTTCCGTCTGCCCCTAAAGTGTTAAGGGGAGAACATGAATCAGCCTGGCGCGGTCGTCCTCCAAACATAAAGTTCTAAAGTGTCTGACCGGCTCTCCTCCTCCTGTTGCTTGCGGCTCCCCTCAGGTGTTTCGGCCTCTGACACCATCAGTCCCGGCCGGGGCCGGTCCGGGCGGAGCCGCGGGCGGCCCAAAGGCTCGGGAGGCGGGCCAAAGTCCGCGGGGAAAGGACGGGGACGCAAGTCGACGGCTGGGAGCGCGGCGGCCATGGCCGGAGCCATGGCGGGCGCGGCGGCAGCCTCAGCCGCCGCCTACGCCGCGTACGGCTACAGCGTCACCAAAGGTGAGACCACAAGCGAGCTCTTCGGTGGCTTTTAAACTCCTTTCGGTTTTCAAATGCGGCCTTTGGGTCTGGTTCTGCGTCCGCCCGCCACCTGATCAGTTCATGATTGTGAGCTCACCCGGCTGTGCTCTCGCCCTCCAGCCGGCCTCCCCGCCTCCGGCGCCCTGCAGCCGTCGCTCGGCCGCTCGGGGACCGGCCCTGCCTTCAACCCCAGCCGAAGCTCCTCCCCGCAGGCCAGAGGAGGCTCTGCCACCCCGAGCCCCCACAAGCAGCCGGCCCACGGCCACCACCACCACCACAGCGGCCACGCCGCCATCAGGAAGGGCAAAGGCCCCGGCGGCCCCGGCGGCCCCGGCGCCCGGTGATGCCCCCCCCCAGCGCAGCCGAACACTCACAGACGGGTGACTTGCTCCTCACTGTGAAGCCCCCAGATGTTTGGGGGGGGAGGGCTTTGGGGGCAGTTGCTGCCAGCCTTCCCACCCGGTGTTTCAGTTTTATTTTATCGTGTCCTCGGCGAGCAGACAAAATCGGCTTCCAGTATCTGTGTTTGCATTGCTCCCCGGAGTGTTTCCAAGTGCTTTTCGACAGGACTAGCTTTTCTATGGATCCCAGGAATCTCCTTCTCGACCTACTGCATCGCAGCGGCACCAACACGGACACAGATCTGAAACGGCACGTGCACCTTTTTCCAAAGGGCTTTTTTTCACATTTTTGTGACAGGGTAGCGAGGCGGGGGAGTTTCTGCCAGGCGCACTGAGCCACGTCTTCCGTTCTTTTGGTGTTATTAAGTCTCTTAGATGTGCTCTTGGTTATTTAATTGTTCTATAGATATGCTCGGTGTAAACTGGTGGATTTTACAGAGCTTAATGTGAACCCTTACGTTTCCTAGCCACACTTTACCAAACAACTCGTCTACAAGCTTTTGTACTAAAGCTCATATTTTTCTAACAGAAGATTTAAGTACGCAGACCAACATGGCAAATGTTAACAGTCCATAAGATATATTCAGAAGCAGAAGGAAAAAAAAAAGAAATGGGAGTCAGTTGTATTTTTTTGTCCACGGGGGGGGGAGGTGAAAAAGATGTTCCAAATTTAGGGATTCCGGCTGACACAGCAGTGCTGCTATCAGAAATCCACTTTTGTTATAAGTGATTTGAGTTGTGTTTGAAAAATGAAATGGGCAGTCTAATATAATTGTGATAGTATTCACCTGTAAAAGTGTAAATTGTGAATTCCGAAGCTGTTTTTATTTTGCAGAGGTTGTTTTCCGTGATGTCTTCTCGAGGTCGTTGATGTTTTAGAGTGAGAGCAGAAGTTCGCATCGGTGTCCCAAATTGAGCACTACATCCGAGTTTGTTTTTGTGTTTATAGTGTGATTAAGAATGAGAAGTTCTATATCAATGTACATAATGGTGAGAGCCACATTTTTTCCCCTGGCTTTTCTCCCGTCACCGGCCCGTCTATTTTTATAGGACACAATGTACATAGGAAGAAATGCATCTGTCGTTTTACTAACAGGAGTCCAATGAGAATAAAAGTGCTTCATCAGAGGACAATTTGGGCTTTTGTTGTGTTGTTAATGCTTAAAATCTGAAAGCAGGTGTTCATTCAACTGTAAATAACAAATGAATGCCACACTCGATAACTCTGTTCTCTGAAACATTGAGATTTTCTGCTGAAAAGCAGTCGACGGCAGCTTACACTGCCTCTCAGATCTGACACGTAACAGCAAAAGCAGATGGAAAGTGAACTTTTGAATAGTCTTAACATGTCCACAAGATGTTTCCTACAAGACATATAAAGGGCAGAGCACTTTGGAAAGGTAGATTGACCTTTTGGGCCATCAGAAAGCCAGACATTCCATGTGTTCCACACAGTTTTGTAGAACCACTCAGAACCTGTTTGCTGGGCCGGGAAGTGCAGCTAATTAGCACATGCTCTCTGGGAAAGAGCAGGTAGTAGGCCACAGGAGAGGAAGCACAGGCTATGACAAGGTACCGGATGTTTTGTAAAGTTCCTAATGTTTCACAGAAGTTTATTTGGCCTGTCAAATATAATGTACCAGTGAAAAAACGGATTCCTTAGTCCCAATTCCTGGGCAGCTGCTAGCTTGTTGGAGATGCTAACACCAAGGTTTGAATACTAATTCTAAAATCTGATGCCTTTCCAAACTTTTATCCAGAAGAGAGGACGACGCTTGTGGACATGTTCATCAACAGGTGAGTTTTTTTTTTTCATTTGCTCTTTTTTTGTGTGTCTTTTCTAGCTCACCTTTACAGTCAGGCTAAAAGCGGTGGGAGCTCTGCACTGAGGCAGAGAGTGGATAGAGGCCCATTCTGCTAGCTTGCGTGCTGCTTTGTGTAATTTAGCCTCCTACTCCTGAGAAATCACTCTTTGGCTCAAACTATGAGAGAATTACCTTTTGGCTTGGCTGTTGCATAGCATAGCAGACAGAGCAGATGTGTGAGCAGCGGTATAGCTGCTCTCCTTTCACTGAACGAGGAAAAAAGTTGTTTTGAGAGGGAGCACAAACAACAACTTTGGAATGGGTCATTTTTAGAAATGGCTTTTAAGAGCTGGTTCACTGTTGGACCTAAACTCACCAGTTTAAGATGAAGACTAATGGAGTGGGTGTTATCTGGAATTAACGGCTCATACATCAGAGGTGTCCCTTTGTGTCTGTGTGGAGCATAATGTATCTCTCCAGGGGTCAGAATGAGTCCATCTCCCTGCAGAACAAAGGAAAGGCTAAACTTTCTCCAGTCATGCACAAGAGAATCAGTTTGGCCCAGCTGCTCCAGGTACAAATGGTATGAATTTCTGTCATCCTATAAATACAGAAGAGATTATGTAGGGCTTAACTTTGGCATCTCTGATCTTAAAATACAATTCTGCACTGACAGATATACCAAAAAACTATGCTTTGAAGCTGAGCGCTAAATAGATTCTTTATCAACTGCGTATTCGTCCCATGTAAGTGGAATAAAGTTCAGCGCATAAATAATCCCACATGAATAATTCCAGCAGCTTTGCAAGCAAAAGCCTCCATTCCCCCCATTAGCATCAGACTACTTGTTGCAAAATACTGTGCAACCTCATCCAAATAGGACAACCAATCCATTTCCCCCACCCTTTTTTTTTCCCTAAGAAGGCTCTTATCTATCCTAGTTTAATTCCACACGTTTTAAGTTACATTTAGAAAATTTAACTGGAGTCTCTCCAAATGTAATAACCCTTGTCAATCAAAGTGATTTACAGACCTCGCTGTGGTCAGTTTTTATTGGAACCTCTTGCTGTTGAAGAAGGGGGGAAAAAAACAAGACACATTGCAATTCTCAAATATTGACGTTTTTGTGCCACAAGCACCTCAACAAACTCCTGTTGATGCCTGTCGTGGTTGCATGGAGGAGGAAACAAAAACTCCTTGTGAAATGTCAGAGCCGCTGGCGCCTGTCCAATCAGGGACTGTTGAATTGAGGTAACTGACTGGTCAGCAAATGCATTTCAGAAAACATTCAGCCTGTTAAACTGTTCTTTAAAAGGTAAAATAAAAATAAACACACTCAAGCCATCATTAATGGCATTTTGTTGGTTGCAAAAGTGCAAAGCGCATCTGAATACTTTGTATTTTAAAGCTTCATATTTCATCTGCAGAGCACTTGAGCTGCACCCTCTTCCTGATGCTCACTGGTTTTGAGCATGAAGCAGACTTGTAAACACAGGACTTCCAGGTCTGGATTTACTCCCGGCTAGCAGTTATATAAGCCCGCGCACTGAGATACACTCTTGACTTGAATCAGAGCCAAAAGGTACAATCTGCTCTGGTCAGTGTTTGGGAGTGTCCTGATGCATGTCCTCCTGGGCTGAGCTTTGAAAAACAACTGCTACCGTTAAGCATGTTGAACCTGGTCTTATCTTTTGTGGAAGTAATATCTCCAAGATTTCTCCCACTGGATTCCAGTACAAATGCTTCTCTGAACAGGCCCCAGGTCAAACAATGTGCCATTTTTTTAGGACAACCCTTAATCCAAGAAAGATTTGTGAATTTCTCTTGGCTGGCATCCATTATTTGGGGCTGTTGTCCCCCTCCCCCCCTACCACAGGAAAAAAAAAAAAAAAAGGCAGTTTGTTTTTGTTTTTCAACTTTTTATTGGCATTTTCTCTTAAACTGGACGCAAGGGTAGTCAAACATCAAATGTGGAGTAGGATGATAAAGTTGTAATAACCTTTTAATGAGTTGGACAGAACCGCTCGAGTGCACATTTTAAAAACAAAGACTGCACTATGTTTACAGTAAACAGTGAGTTAAACATGTAGTTGCATTAGAAGACACGTAACGCATCCCTTTTGTTTCTTTAGTGGCATTCACAGGATTTACCTACTGGATGGAAGTGTTAACTTATAGAGATTACAGGAGGACCGGCATGGAAAAGCCTCTGATGACCACCACCCATAAGCAAGTGAAACTAAAGGTACGAGCTACTGAGCCGCCAACAGGCAGGACACCACGATTAGTGCGGCGGCCTCAACGGCGTACAGATGGTGGTCTTCCACATCTGGGCAGCTGCTCCTCATGAACTGGGCCAACCGGAGCAGGTACTCCAGGTTGTGGCCCGTCTTCCCGCGGCACACGGCGATCTGGGCCCCGATCTCCTCCGGGGTGGCCGGCCCCAAGTACAGCGGGTTCTCCGAGGTGGCGATGTACACCAGCGCTTGAACGGGAGCCTGCGCCTCTCCGCCAGGAAAGAACTCCACCATCTTGGTGACGTAGCCTCCGCAGACCGTCTCCCGAACATCGAGGTACTTGAGGGACTCTTCCACCTGCGAGCCCGACACCTCAAACGCCACACCCCAAGTAGTCGCCTGTGGGGAAGGAAAAAAAAAACAAAAACATGAACGGTCAGTATTTTACCAGTACACCTTTTTCATGCTTGGAAAAAACTAACTACATCACTGAGCCAATAGGAAGTGGAGAATTCCACTTACGTCATCGTCTTCGATCAACGTGACGACTCTTCCGGGCTGGGGAGGGGAAGAGAAGTAGGTCATTACAAGGAAATAAATAAATAAAAAAACACCTGATGCAATCTTAGCCAATAAGTTCCAATCACAGCAGCTTAAAAATAATTTACTAAAGTAAAATACTTACCGTCTCGTCGTTTCCACGGTGGAAGTTGTCCCCGTGCCAGAAACGTCTCTTGTAGCCTTGAATGTAACCGACCTCACTCCTTTTGTACTTGAAGTCAGGCTTCCACACCAAAGACCCGTACCCGAAGATCCACAAGCTGCTCTTTGAGGCGATGATGTCTTGAGGCTTCATTATGATCGGTGTTGTTGACGTTCAGATGGAATGATGGATCACTGGTTTCCTTTGGGTAGATGACTCGGGGTGACTAGCTAGCTAGCGTTAGCTTCCTTCGGTCCAGCAGCAGCGGGACCGGTTGGCTCGCCGGGATACCGCGGACGGTATTTGAGCCCAACTGCTTGGCAGTGGCGAAGATGGAATTTCGCGGTTGGTTTTGCCTTGCACTATGCATTGCCATTGCATTAGAGGTGCCGCATTATGCCTTAAAAATCCATGGCAGCCGCTTGGGCCTTTGACACGACGGGGAGAAAAAAAGACCGAAAACCGTTGGGGCCAGCTGTTGTGCCAGCCGATGTTATTCTGAATTTAGATAAAAAATAACTCAGAAGATCGAGGTTTAACGGATATTAGTTATGAACGCGTTATTAATTGTCGACTCCCCGCCTGCCTCTGAAGTCTTCTCTGACGCGTTTCCTCGATAACATGGCGAAGGCTTGTTCATGTACTTATAGAGATCAGGCTGAGAAGGCGGGCTCGTTCTAGCTGTTTCGACCAATAACATTCTGGAATGACTCGCCCTCGGTCGCCTTTTACCCAAACAGGTTTCGGTGCGCCGAATGGGGCGGGAATTAATGCAACACTCTGGCTGCCATTGGTCCGAATATGATTTATGACGTTGGTCTGTTTTCAAACGCGATTGGGCACTTCCCCGCCATTCAAATGACTTCAGCTTACAATTGGTCGTTTACGTTGTCCTCATCTTGATGTTTATCTGGCTGATGCAACTTGCCTCAGCCATTGAAGCACCTCAGCAACGCACCAAGACATTGCATCAGCTGTAGAATAGAGCCTTATATAGAGGATATACTACATTTGTCACGAAGAGAACAAGTCAATGCTCTAGATTCATATCAAATTAAGCAAATCACAAACACTCCTGTGTAAACGGATTATGTAAAATTACCTGGGGTTTATGGCAATTAAAGCTAAATATATAAAAGATGTATTAAGCACTGCATATGTTTACATGAGACAAATGATGTTAGATCTGTTGTTGTTGATGTTTGCAAGTTTCACATCTTAGATATGTAACGGTACGACAAAAGTCCATATTCAACTGATGGCAACCTCTGTGAACCCTGAGAGATATGTCCATTGATATTGATAGGATATCCCAGTTTGTGTATTTGTTGAATATTTGTTTTGACAAAACGGGTCACTTTGACACACTGCATGTGACTTTGGGTAGATATACAGCGGTCAGACAGTTGAAAAACAAGAAAACTTGTCATTTGCAAAATGATCCAGTCCCCCCCTTTACCCACTTGCTACTCAACAGTCAACACTACTTTGTGGCCTGGATCTTTGGAAGCTTTGGTGTAGTTTATGACAGGTTTCAGGAGCATTTGGAATCGTCAAAAATACAAGTTTTTTTCCCCAAGTCTAAAATTAGAGCACTATGTGGATAGTTAGGCAGATGAAGAACCTGATTAAATGTACAAAAATACCCTCCACCACTGGGAAATATTATATGCCGTGATAGCAGAGGCTCATCTGTGCTCAATAAATAGATTATCTATAAATAGCTGGCATTATCTGTCTTGATAAGAGGCTGGACAACTGTATCAGCTCCTCATAAATTTAAAGCAGCAAACAATCCAGGCATTTGAGCGACCCTCTGTCGGGGACCAGCTTCCCTTCGGATTTTTCAGTGCCCTTGCATGTGAATACACTTCTGAAGGCTTCTGATTTGTTTGTCGATCTTACAGTATTTCTCAATGCAGAATCCAGATGCTTTACTGACACCTACTGCTTCCGTGTTTTGACATTGAAACGTTCATTTATCCTCACTGTCCCAGTAATGTGAGATCACAGGTCAAACCTTCTACGCAAGAGAACTCATGTGGCTTCTGGGGAGCTGTTTTTAAAGCTATGGCGTACACATTCGTTTTTCAGCCAGAAGCTTGAGGTCAGGTTACTGGGACATGTCACTAGAATCTAGAAGTTGATCCTTCAGAACAGGACAACACTAGCAGGACAACACTAGCAGGACAACTAATAACCACCGTCCGCTGCTTAATCATCCAGGTGGTGTATGTGCATTACAGAATCTGCGGTGTTAGTTTTTTAAGGTTTTAGTCAGTTGTTGGATCACAGAAAGTTCCTAGGGGATTTATTTTGGCATTTTGTTTCCTGTGTGGGCTTCTTACTGACACCTAGTGTTAATTAATGAGAGCACTGCACAGGGAGCTACAGGTTATGTGGCAGACTTAAAAACACTATCTGAGACATGCATCAGCAGAACATATGCTCAACTTCTAACAAAGTGCAGCAAAGAATAGGACAAGTAGCTTCCACCAATTTTAATGGTGCCCACCCAGCCAATTTGACTAATGCAACTGCTCATAGTTTGCAGCTGGAACTCCTTTAACTGCACTTCGATGGTTTACTATGTGTTAGTTTATGCTGTTAATTGTTTAATTCATATATATATTCTTTGCCCTTTATAGTCACTGTGTCTTACACATACATATTCAAAGCCATTGTCACTTTAAAAAAAATCCAAATAATGTGGTTAAATAAACTGACCAGGCACAGCAGCCATGACTGAAAGCTCCTGCCAGGTAGAGGTTTTATGCTAGTGACTGCAAGTTTCTGACAGGGACAACAAAAACAGGTGGCAGAGGGGAGCAGCCACACTCCTGGGTTGCATACAGAGCAGACTGGAGTTTGACATTTGCTTTGCCGCAGAAAATCAAGAATTTCCTCAGCATGAAACGTTGATTAGGGTGCTTGTCTGTGTTTTGTGGTTGTTTCCTCAAATACCCAAATCATCTCTGTGCACTGAGTGCAGAATGAAGAAGGCGATGCGTGAGAAAAACCGTTGGCCCGCACCGGCATGTTCTGCATTTTTTAATCAGAGAGGAAACAGGAACTGATGTCACTGGGTCACAAACAGGATGCTGTGATTATAACACAATGAAAATGCCTGGCTATGTTATGGACACCCAGAGGCCAAAGAGCAGAGCCCTAGCATGCGGGACCAAGTGTGAATGAGGGTGTGTGTCTGCTCCTAGGTGTGAGGATGATGACGGTGGGAAGAAACTCTGGAGTGCTATCAGACTGGGTCAGGTAACAGGCCAAAGCACCCGGGGCTTTAACTGGACGATTAATCATGGTGGTGGCATGTATGTTATATCTGAACTTGGCTGGAAGAACCCCCCCCATACACACACACACACACACACACACACACACACACACACACACACACACTTTCCCTCCTTTTTTAAAAACACACGGACACACACAGGCTTGTAGATGAGGATGCCCAGGTCAAGCAGCTGACAGGATGCGTGAGGGGAAAAAGGCCTCCAGATTTTCTGCCGCGTGTTGATTGCTGCTAATTAGGGGCTGTTGACTGTTGCAGGATTTCTGTTAATTGGAGGCATGAGACATTTTGATAATATGGATGACACGTTTTCCAGATTAAAATAAATAAATAAAAAGGCTGGGATGTGCTTAAAGGCTGGTTGACGGGCTCTGTCTGCTGAGTGGAACAGCGGGGAAGAGCCGAGGGAAGCAGGATTTAAACACACCGTTCTGACAGGACAACTTTTCTGTGGTGGGGATCTTTTTTATTTATGAGGATTTCTTGCAGATCCACTGGCTCCCATCTGGTTTCGCCCTCCCCTCTGCCGACAGCCTCAGCGCCAGGTCCTCTCTTCAGCTTTGTTCAGTGGAGTGGGTGGTAGAGAACCGGGCATTGAAATATTGCTGCTAACCCTTAGGGGGAGGCAGGCTGTTGGAGAGCTTGCGAGAGCTTGAGTGTTTTTTTTTACAATTTTTTATGGCAGGAGGTCGGTGCTCTCTGTGGGTCATGCACACAGGGTGACAGGCCTGGCATATGCTGCTGTTTTTATGGCACTGCAGACTCCCCCCCCCCCCCCCCCCCCCCCCCCCCCCCCCCCTCACTCCGGCATCTGTTTGTCTGGTGGGGTGTGTGTGTGTGTGTGCATGGATGCGTGCGCGAGCATTATGAGGGGTGAGGGGCTGAGGTTCCCCTTTGCCCCGCGCCTGGCTTTGTTTCACCATTTCCAGCTTGAGGGGGTGGTTTCCATGGAAACGGATTTGAATTTCAAGCCAATTTAGGGCCGGGGAGAGAACAAGGGGTGGGTGAGTGGGGAGGGAGCCAACAGCGTTTCAAGGAATTACTCGAGGTAGTGATGCCACAGGCAAGGGGAGCTGCATGTCTCCTACTGCACCGTCCAAAACAACACAGCCCAAGAAGTGCGAAGGCAGGAGAACGGCTGAATGTCAAACACACACACACACACACAAAAACCTACCCACAATTCAAAGCGAGTGATGAGGAATCGAGTACACTACTATTTTGAGCTTTAAATCACATGAAAAGAAACCATGAGACACATTTGATTAAGCACTTAGAATCACTTCCATTACTGAAAAAGAGCACACCTCCATAAATAATTTTTTTCTTTTCCGTTTACTGACGAGCAGTTTTCAAGGAAGTTTTATTCTTCAGAAGTTTGGTCCTTATAAATATGCATTATATACAAAATAATATTATAAAACATATAAAGAGCAGTGTGTCATATTTAAATTAAACTCTGGAAATAATCATTTAAAAAAATTACATTATTGGTTCTGTACTTTTTGAAATTTATTATAGGCAGGCAGTGGTGTGACAGTCTTTTCTCCTTGTTTGAGTCTCTTTGTTTTTCTCAGTTGGGTTGCATAAAAAAATCATTTTTCTATGCACACTTTCTCTTGGATCTTGCTGGCACTCCACTGACTATTGGTCTCCTGTGGTTTTCTCTTCAATTCTCTGTTGATTGAAAAGTATTTTCCCCGCTGCTTTTATCCACCCACCCACCCTTTTTTTTTTCTTTTTAGTGCAAATGATCCAAGAACACACAGGGGCACAAATTTAGCATTTAAACCCCCTCTTTTAAGGCTTCTAGTGAATTTGGGCTGCATACAATCTCCACCCTTGTGCTGACAAGTCCAAGCAGTCATTTTCACATGATTGACCGTTGAAGATTAGTTTCAGACATTCATTTCTTTCAGTGTTGGTGAGGCTGGATCGTGACAGCGGGTGAGTTCACTCATCTCGACCCTGAGTCTTGCATAGCAGGCAAAGCTGGCAGGAGTGAGTGTTTGGGAGGGGTGGGGGACGATTTGGAGGGGTCAAATCTTAGGCACCTTTTTTTTTTTCACCGATTGGTTGGCTGTCAGAGTCTTTATGATTATCAAACAAGGCCAGGTCAGAGTCGAAGGGCGATGATCACCTCCTTTTGCTGTCCAGAATGGCCGAGATTATAAGAGTTTTTCGCTGACCTCGTGCAGTCATTGGATTCACCAGTCTGTTCAAAGTGAGAGAGGTCCTTCAATGTACATGCTTTGCATACAAACACTCGGTCAACAAAAAGTTCCTCAGTTCTGTTGCTTTGTTTTTTTTTCTTTTCTTTTTTTTTTAAATGTTCAGAGCAGAGGTCTGTGCCCTCTCCAGTTCCTCAGTGTTCCAGAGCAGCAGTGAACGTCGAAAACATCTCCAGTCTCTTCTCAGCATTTGTAAACAATCCAGAATATCATATTCTGCCTCGATTGTGTCTCTGTCCTCATTCCCTTGATTACTGAACCCCTCACAGTTTATACCTGTGGGAAAAACAAGAGGGGGGGAACATATAATCAGTCTGTTGTTTGAAAAATGAAAATAAAGCCGGAAAAAAAAAGACACGCATTTTCCAAGCGGCAGTTCGGCTGCTCCCTTAGCTCAAACGCTCCAGTATCACCGTTACATTTAGCTTGGAAACAGACGTCTAAAAAGTGCCACAGCGGTAAAACATAGCACCTTTGAGACCTTGCTGAGCCAAACATGTGTGAGAAATCATTATAAGTTTGGATTTAGGTCATCATATGGCCAAGATAAAGAAAAGTCAGCATAATTTATAAAAACTAATAATGCATTAAAACTGGTCTTTTCCCATATTTGGTCCGTATACCGGACTGAAACCTTCCTACAAACGGCACCGACCTCATGCAGTACTGAGGGAAAACACTCTTGGGACGGCCTAATGCATGTGAAGTCAAGCATCTACGGAAATGCTGATGAAGATGTGTGTGTTTTTTTGTTGTTTCGTTTGGCTTACCTCTGTTGCTATGACGCATTCCCTCCTCTCCTCTGCTATAACAAATACCGACTGGTACATGGAGTCTCTCGAGGAACATATTGTAGATATCCTACACTCTGGTTTTTCACTATAAACACAAATCACACGTGTTAATGCAAACAAGAAGCACATGGCCGGGCTGTGCATCACAGGCCGAGAGACTTTGTATAAAGTGTGTAAAGACCCAAATGGTGGGTTCAGACAAACAGTTCATTCATTAAGCAAGACCTCTCATTAACACAGCCAGGATCAGCATATGGACTCATGCATGAGGAAAATGAATAGCAGGAGAGTTATGGAAGACTTTCAAACACATGCGTACAATCATAACAAAGATGGGAAAAGCATGACTGAATTCAGGGTGTGGGGTCCTCTTACCTGTACATTCGACTGAGAGGCATCTTGTCCTCTAAACACTTGTCATAAATAAGACTTTTATCCCCATGCAACTTTTCATCCATGAACTCTTTCGATTTAGAGTTGTAAGAGTCCAAGTGATAGTTTTTATGGATAAAGTTCGATTTCTCTGAATCACAGTCCACCTCCAGGCTGACTTTCTGGTTGGTGTTTTTCAGCTGGGATGCTGGGATCAGGTTGTCCCTCTGGACGCTGGAAAAGTTGTTCATAGTCTCCGTTTCTGCCCCCTGTCTTCTGGACTGTCTGTGGATGTGCCTCAGAGCCAGCCCCACCATGCACGCCAGCACCAGCAGCGCCACCAGCCCCACCGCCAGGGAAACGGCCGCCCACTGGAATCCGTCCTCGCAGCGCGGCCCGCTGAAGCCCGACGGACAGACGCAGGCCGCCAGGGGCTTGCCCGGCCCGCCTCCCCCGGTGCAAAGGCCCCCGTTCAGGCAGGGGCGGAGGGAGCACTCGTCCAGGACTCGGTTGCAGTTGCGCCCGCCGTAGCCCGCCGGACAGGCGCAGGTGTAGTCGTTGATGCGGTCCTGGCAGGTGCCTCCGTTGAGGCAGGGGTTTCCGGCACATTCGTTTATGTTGATCTCGCAGTGCTGGCCGGTGAATCCCGCCCGGCAGCTGCACATGCGCATGCCACCCTGGAGCAGACACAGACCCCCTAGGAGGCAACGGGGGAACATTAAGCATCAACAGTGTTCCCATTCTGAAAGCAAGAAAACATTTCGACATCAAGGCACTCCAAAACGAAAGAAAACCCCGACCCGAATAAGAGCCTCCTGAGAGGCCCCTGGAGTTCACACATCTTTGTCGAATCCAGTGTGACCGCAGCACTGTGCATTGTTCTCCACACACAGAACAATCCCAGAGCCCGCCATGTTTACAAGGAGACAGAAACTGAACTGCACTTGGATATTTGTCCCCTTTCATCAACAACTGCAGCGAGCTGTGGTGACATTTACAAGCCGCTGCTCAGAGCTGCCGAGTGTTTATACGGAGGACAATAGACACCAGGTTCCCACCAATTCCTGTTGTTCCACACCGCTTCCAGTTGCAGGAATTTAAAGGGGGGGTGGCGGGTAGAAGGAGCGAGGGGAAGTTCAAAAACAGGGGGGCGGCGGGGGGGCACAGAGGGGAGGAAGGCCGTACCATTAGCGCAGGGAAGCGACGTGCACTTGTCCACTCTCTTCTCGCAGTTGAGTCCGGTGTAGCCGTGGGGACACTCGCACATGTAGCTGCGGCCGCCGTCCTTCTCCCGGCACATGCCGCCGTGGAAACAGGGGGAGTCGGCGCAGGTCAGCAGACTGTGCTCACAGTGGGAGCCCTCAAAGCCCTGGGGGCACGTGCACACGTAGCCGCTCTCCAGGTTCTGAGGAAACGGGGAGCAACAGAGCAGGGATGAGCCTCCGGATAAGACGGTTTAAAAACAACAACAACAAATCAGCGACTAGTTTTCCCTGGTCCCGCTTACCGTGCACGTCCCTCCGTTCCTGCAGGGGTTGCTGTCACACTCCTGCATCTCCAGCTCGCAGTTGACCCCCGTGAATCCAGGCAAGCAAGTGCACGTGTAGCTGCCCTGGCCCGTGTTCATACAGGTGGCGCCGTTGACGCAGGGATGGTGATGGGTGCAGAAGTTCAGGTCTGGGAGTGGAAGAGGGGTAGAGAGAAGAGTGTTTGTTTACTGGGAGGAAAAGAGCCACCCCAGACGTGTGTGTGTGTGTGTGTCAAGCTGTGAATGCACTTCAGAGGAAAGCTGATTCACTGATGAAAAACGGTAATAGGAGAACCTCTTTTATGAAGGGGGCAGCTGTGCGGCGTACCTTGGTCACAGAAAAGGCCTCCCCAGCCCTCTTGGCAGTTGCACTGCCACGGCAGGTCACAGGTGCCGTGCTTGCAGGCCGGGTACTTCTTGCACTCGTCACAGAATGTGCCCTGCCAGCCCTCTCTGCACCTGAGAAAGAGAAAGCATTTTGTTTCCACGATTAACCACTTCCTCTCTGGTGTAGAAACTTTCAAATGATGGAGACAAACATCTGTCTCAACATGGAGAGGAGCTGTGAAAGCAGCTTTGGTGTGTTTGGCATCTCAAGGACTCAGCCCCAGTTTGGGTCCGTTTTTGTGCCGTGAGTGATGGCTTGAAGTCTTGAGCGAGGGCAAACTAGACTTCGGGAGGAATTTCTCCCAGCCAGCGGGTGAGTGTGTGTGTGAATTGCACCCGCTGCTGAGTGAGTGAAGGAGACAGGCTAGTGACAGGATGGGAACATGGGAAGCAGAGAAGTCAGTGAGTGATGCGGGGAAACCAAAGAGGGCATGGAACTCTCCATTTTTTTGTTGATTTAGTAAACTTCAGTCTGCCTTCATGAATCATAGAGACGCAGAGCGGGGACGGTGGGGGGGGGGGGGGGGGTCAGCTGATTAAGCTGTAATTAGGTGTATGTCAACACCTTTTGGACTGGACAGGGTTCCTGTTGTTGAAATGTATATTTAGAAAAAACAAGCCAGGCTTTTCTTTTTTTTTTTCACATGAAAGCAACTAACACTGTTCCCACATGTGCTCCTCCCAACACTCATTTCAACACTTCATAATTACTGATACTTACACACACTCCCCAGGTCTGGAGCAGTTTCCATTTCTCTCGCTGCAACCCTCAAGACAGATAGCTGAAGGGGGAAAGAAAAAAAAAGAGAAGAAAAACACAAGGACGCCGTGAGTTTTGCAACTTCACTGACTCTGTTCAACACAATCTTTCAGAGGAGGGTCAATTAAAACATTTTCAAAGGGTTCGAAATAGCAGTTGGCAGGGAAAAAAAAGGTATGTTAATCCCCTTGCACCCCAAAATAAGAACCAAGGCTAAAGAGCTGTTATTGTCTTGAAATAGACAACAGGGGCGTGTAAGTTAAAGTACATGAGGCCTTGGTCTGTCTCAACTTTCGTCATTTGATCTAAACCTCCCCCCCCCCCCCCCCCCCTCGTGGGGGGCGGTGGGGAGGTGGGGGGGGGGGGGGGGGGGGATGCTAGGAGTTTTGTTTGTCCTGTTTTAAGTGTCCTGGTCTTGCATGACACTGATTCGCGGCCGGGGCAGCATATCAGGCGGCTGACAGTAAGCGGCCGCTTTAGTCCGGAACAGATGCTTGCTCTCAATAGCAGACAGCTGTCACTATTGTTGTTTGTGGTCTGCCAGAAACCATATTTGCAGCTGCTACTACCGCGCGCCCAACAATGGAAGGAGCTGAACGTCGGTGGCGCGTGGCGGATAATAATGCCGCGATTAACCTTGGCGCGTGCAGCCGCGCGGGCTCCTCCTCTCTATGGCGGCGTACCGCCCCCCCTCTTCACCCCCCTCACCCCCCCACAAACCCGCCTCCAGATTATGTTACCGGGCACGCGCTCACTGCTCTGAATGAAGACACAAAATACGGTTCAATTAACGCCAAATTCGTTGTTCGCGCTCGTGACGTCTCTCCTCGGGCGCCGGTGGCAGACAAAAGCTAGCTAACGCTAGTCAACTTCTTTCATTTAGGCCGTCAGAGGTACTTAGCCTATTTATCTCGGGCCGAAGTAGCTCCATTTGGGCTTCTCCTGTCGAGCTGAACTGGTATTAGATCAAAAAACGACCGACAAAACAGCTCCTGCAGACTTTCTCAAATGTTTGACTGAACCCAAATGGCCACTAGCGTTCAGATTTATGCGTGGGAGTGTGAGAGCCGAGGGAAACTGCGGTCTCTGTCCGTGATCCGTCTCCCATGTATATTTTCTGTAGTCACCAACGATTGATGTGTGCCTAATTGTAACACGTGAGCCCATCTGGTTAGAATTTGGCGCCAATCAAAATAGCACATGCCAATTTCTCTCTCACCGCCGTGTGACGGGGGATGAGGGATTCGCTGTCACCCATGTGGTCACAAATCCAGCACATGGTAGCTATTACTCCCAGTGCCTTCTTCAAATCTACTCTTTGATTAATTTGTTTTTGGTGAGAGGGGCCCTTTGGTGCTGTGGAGCCAAATGGCACGGGGCCTCCTCACTGGCTGGCTGAGAGCTTTCCAAATCATGGGCGTGCTGGTTTCTGACTTTGCCAAGTGGGTTCTCACAGCTATAATGTTGTCATTCTAAACTGTCTTAGTGTTCACAAACCCACAACCAATTACACGTCAGACTCATTTAACTTCAAATTATATGAGGCCTATCAATACATCTGACACCAAAACAGCCTGTCAGACTTGCATTAAGTCATGTCTGGTTCATGTAGCCAACATCCTGGAGCTTTCACGATGATGAGGACTCATCTGACCTATCAGCTCTCCTTAAAAAACGACTAATATCAGCATCCATTGTTTTTAGGCACAAGGCACGGCAATGATGGGAAAAGGCCACACGCTGTTATGGGGACGGACTCGCCGGGACGTCAGGATGCTAACAAGTTCTCTGAGGTCAGTAGTATCCAAAAACACCTGCTCACTTCTCTACGCGTTCAAAGCAAGAGCGGACCGCCGCGACAAAAGCTGAGACAACTCCGGACCCCATAGGCAGTAAGAACTGGCCACTCATAGAAGGTCACCCCGGCCAGGCAGTAAAAGTCCACTTATTACTTACGTTCTTCACAGTATTTTCCTTTCCAGCCGGGCAGGCAGGATAAGTCCCCGTTCCGGGTGCAGGTGTAGTGGCCAAAGCGGTCATCCCTCGCAGTGCATTTTTTGGAGCAACTTTCTCCGTAGTAACTTTCGTTGCAGATAAACCGGTAGGAGTATCTCAGCTCTGTCTGCGGTCCACTCAGTATATCCTGCAACCAGTCATTTCCGACGCCCAGCTGTCTTTGGATAGCGAAAAAGCTAATCAGAAGGTCTTGGTTGTTGTTATCTGCAAGAAAAATAAAAAAAGGGGGGAAAAAACAAGAGTAGGAAGTTAGTCAAAAACCTGCCTCTGTCCGTGGGTGATTATGGTTTTATCTCAAGAACTGCTCCATAAATCGCTGTGGGTTCAGAAGTCATCCATTTTCGCTTTAATAATCTGCCCAGTACCAAGCTGCATCCCTTATCAAATCGCATACAGCTTAGATGAAAGATAAACTCAGGTTGAAATTTCCTCTTTCTTTCCGTCAGCAAAAACATTCCCAGGCCCGGTCCCCTCTTCCAAAGGGCAGAACAGAGTAAGGTGTAAAATACAGGAAGATGCAGTCAGGGATTTTTGGCAGGCACTGTGTATTCTCACCAAAGCCCACAGCTCTTTCCCACGCCAAAAATAAACGAGAGGAAGTTCAATTGTATTGGGTATAAGAATGAAAAAGGTGTTCTGAAGTTCATAACAAAGGAATGAATAGGCGTGAAAATTGTCTGAAATTACGAACAATTAACAGGCAGCTGAGAGGGAAAATGTTTAGTGACTGAGCTGGGTTAAAAAGCCTAAAGTTTGATTTTAGTGTAATTGTGCAAACAAAAAAAACTGGAGCGCTGCTTGTTACATGTACAGACAGCTGGCTGTGTGTGAACATGCACAGACAGAGCTCCCTCCTGTGGTTATAAACGTAGCTCTTACCTACAGGTAGATTTCCATAAGGTGAATGCCAGGCTTCAATTATTAATGAAAATGACCCCTGTGGAGAAAACACACTGCAGTTAACAAAAAAAAAAACAGAACCGTGGCTCAATTTCTCTTTTGAAACACACACACACACAAAACCCCGCATATTTGCCCGTTGAACTCATGCACGTTCCCCTGTTGTGTGTATTAGCTGCTAGGCTGCTTGTGAGGATGCGTGAGGTCCAGAGAGTGCATGGCCCCTCTGGATTTGGATTTTAAAGTGAACGACGGCGCGGCAGCCCAATCTGTTTGCCCGCAGAGCATTACCTAATGATATGGATTAGAGGAGCTGACCAATAACCTGTGCGCTGCCAAAATGCACAGCACCCCCCCCCCCCCCCCCCCCCCACCCCCCCCCCCGCAAAACAACAGCGGTGCTTGTAATTAGAGAAAATAAAAGTGGATGTGTTGCTCCACGCCCTTACCGGCCATCCAAACTTGAAGGGGATTTGAATGGGCCTGGGTAAAGTGCCGCTGTCCTTGGCGCTGAAAGAGTTTGTCCCCAGCACCGGTGTCATTGTACTCCCAAAGATGCAGTCACCTGGCGAGACCACAGCCTGATAGTTCTTCAGGCAAATCCTGAAATAAGTCCTGCAGCTGGGTTTGCAGGCGTTCCCGTTTGCCAGCAGACCCTTGTGGTTTTTAAATTCGTGAAGATCCACCTCGAAAACTCCCGATCCGAATACCTGAAAGAGAAGGGAATAATATTCAACATTGCGCCGCACAGCTTACATCTCACTGTAAAAAAATAAAAAGGGGCATAAACGGGGGGATGAATTAGAAAAGAATCGCCCCTCCATCTGTTTTCACCGAGGTCTCAGGACCACCGTGGAGGGGTACGGCATATCCTCCCTCATACCTGGGATATCAACGTGGTGCTGAATGCGATGGTAAAGGTGAACCAGGCTGCCATCCTTCTCGTTTCTCCAGGGCAGCCGCGTCACCAGCCAATAAAACAGCAAAACCTTCTTATTCCGAAGTGTTTGCACCGAGGGTCCCAAACGGCCAGGAAAAGCTCGAAAACACAAATAAATCCTCCACTCCGAGGGAGTTCTCAGTAGCTCCGTGTCACCGTGCGTCAAGAGCGTCCAGAGAAAAGCGTTCCCAATTTCCAAGTTATCCAAAGGTGAGGGAAGACCCAATATCCACAGCTGCGCGCCTGGCTCTCAGCAGGCGTCCTCTCCTCGCATGGCACTGTACTCCAAAATGTGTCACTCCGCTGAGTGTGTGCGGCTCAGGGCTTGTTTTGGTGCTGGACTCTGTGCGTCAGTGCGCCACGGATGTTCATCACTCTCCTTATTACTAGTGAATGAACCGTGGTGTGTCTCCTCCCAGATATATAGACTTGCACCGCGCCGCTCATTACATAAACTGTCACTCACCCCACTGACACCGCCCACTTTACATATTCAACCCCCTTCCCTTCCACCCCAACAACAATTATCCAGATTTAATACCCACTGGCACTGAGATGACTGACCACCATGGATACGGGGGCGATTATTAACAAGCCCTAACATCTGTTGGCTTATTTTTAGCGCACAATATGCCGGACGCACATTTACACGTTTGCGCACAATGAGAGGGGACAATGTAAGAGCCCAAACTTCGAGGATAGAGAGCAGAAATTCAATTACTTCTTTACTCTATGCACCCTTTTGCCCTTGGTTCCACTCAATTGCACGCCTAATTAGCCCCCACTCCAGCGTCGGAGCCCATCATCTCAGAGCCCTCTTTCTCTGTGGGGTCACGTGGGTCTCCCTCGGGATGCTATTCATACAATCATACCTGAAATGCGACTAAAGGGGGAAAAAAAAACCTTTTTTTCCAGTTGTTAAAACTGCTGCTAGCCTCGATGTAATCAGATCTGAATGCCTTACTTTTAGCTATATAGGCGGAGAAGCAAACGTAGCACAACATAAAATAAACGCACTTTTAATCTGAGGTTCAGTAGACTTCATATCGTGTCTTTTGGTTACTTTTACGCACGGACGCACAGACCTATGTATCGTCTAGAAACGCGTGTGTTTTTTCTTTAACCAAACCCGATATCCTTGAGCGTGTTTTATCTGGTTGGTGGCGTGTGCCCCTTCTTGCCCACCCGTGTACGTCCCGGTAAATGGCAGCCTGCCTCCCATTGTTGCGGCGCGTGTCCCTCTCTCGCCCTCATGCGGGTGTAATGTGCGGGACGGGACGCACGGGCCTAACCATTCAGCTGTATGCAAATCAGCTCTGTCGGCCTGGCTGCCGCACACGCGCGGCCCTGAGGAGAATTTAGGCCATAGCGGGGGCCAGGGTTCTCAAGATGGAGATAAAATATATAATAATAATACTCCTTCTACCGTCTCGGCCGAAGACGGGGGAAAATCTCAGTTTAACTCGGAATGACCAGTTCCCTCCAATAGCTTCCTTTAAATTAACTTGGAAATTGGTGGCTGAAGGATAAGTAGCATGAGCATAATTGCATATTAAGTGATTAAACGCACGCCTTAAGGGGGTTTCTGGACACACATGTTGTTTTTTAAACTCTGATTGGTCGTATTTGTTACTCGATCGGCCGTGTCTCTCTCGTTCACCATCTGGTGGGAGACTGGCAGCCCGACGCACCGTTTTTCAGTCGTCTGTTCACGGAGGGGGCCGAGCCAGTTTTTTCCTCCAACCTGTTCATCTAAACTCTGTTTGGCACCAGTTGTGCGAGAGAGAACGACGGTAATCGTGTCATAGCGTCGTCTCCCATGTTGTCTCAACTGTGCGTAAAGCAGCCGCGGCAGAAGTTGCAGAGCGTCAGACCTGCCTTCGACTTTCAGGCTAAAGCCTGCCCCTGCTTTTTACTGAGCATTATAACACTCAAAAAGTTGCAAACGTCCATGACTGTGTGGTTTGAACTGTGATTCATCACTGAATCTGCTCCTGAATGACCAAGCCACCCAGCAGACCTCCAAACAGGCTGCCTCTCCTCTTTAAAAAAAACATGAATTTAAGGATGATTTCATGCTGAGATAGCTGATGTAAAAAATAATTCTTCCTCTTCTCCTGTTGCTACGTCCGTCTCTTGGTGACTCTCCCTTGAACTCCCCATGATCCCAGCCTGTTTACATTTCATCTGCCTTTTTTCCTACTGTAACTGTGCACTGCTGAGAGTGAAAATGGAGAGGGTCTATATTTGTTCAGTGTTCATAGGAGGCGAAGGCGGCCGATTGGTTGACTGCTTGTCCTATTGACACACCTGTTGTGTCTGCATTGGGTCCACAGAGACACAATGGCATTGTTGGCGTGCCGCGCGCTGCACGGCTCCTCTCTGTGTCTATATGCTCTGGGCCGCTCGTTCTGCTGCTTGTTGACACAACATGCTTGATGATTCTGTGCGTTTGTGATTTGTTTCTCTAAAGAAAGTATCTGTTGCCGTTGGTGCGCTTCGCAGGAACATTGTTCGTTTTTGCGCTCGGTGCAGTTGTGTTTCCTTTTGGCTGTAATTCCAGCTCGGCGTTCTCACCGTTGCCTCAGATCTCCTGCCATTAGTGCTTTTTAATCATGAATATTACTTTTGGTTATCTCCCTTTATAGCCATATGCTCCCGGTGCAGCCAAAATGAAGCCGCCATAAAAAGCGCGACAATTGCACTTTATGGCGGGTTTAAAAGGTGTGCACAGCTGATAACACAAAGCTCTGCTCGCCATGAAGAGAGGAAGATGAGACGGGGCCGTATGCTCTTATTCACATGGCTTAAACAAACCTTCGGCAGAGCGTCAGATGGCTTTTATGACACTGCTCATCGATCCGCCTGCAGACTGGCCTTGGCTTTGTGAGTCGACAATGGCTCCTGCAGCAAAGAAGTTAAGTTTGAAATTCAACTTCTAATCATCAGTACCATGCTGACAGACGTCCACGGTCAAAACCAGCCCAAACAGAGCTGCTCGGGCACTTAAACATCTGCCGGCCATTGCCCTCCGTAGTTTTATTTAGAACGCGCCAAGCTGAAAAGCATTGTGTTCTTACGCCGTTAGCAATCTCAGATGGCAACTCGAGCCTCCAGCAAACTGGCTGCTGCTCACAGCTAAACTATTTGGACCCACTCTCTGAACCGCAAGCCGGGACCCTGCATTTATTAAGATGCTGCATCAAAGCCTTTTGCTTTCCGTCAACCCAGCAAGGGTCCGACTGACCAAACTTTAGTTTATGTCCGAGCCTTCATCCAGACGCTTTGATGTCGCCGTGTGCGTGTGTGAGCGCAAGCTCACATGGGGGCGTCATGGAAGTTGAACAGAGCACATAAGCTCATGCCTGATCACACCAGTTGGGGGTTCACATGTCCGCCTCGGTCCGCTCGCGTTCCTTTCCAGCTGTCTGTGGATTCGAGGGACACTGTGGAGAAAGCCACTGTTCCTGTTCTCACCACTCTCATGAATATAACCGCCATCTGACAAGGAAGTGTAAACAGGTTTGCTCGGCCAGACAGCGGACACGAGAATATCTATTGTTGTTGGTGGAATGTGAAGAATGCCGTATTAAAAATGAAGCAAGACCCGGGCCATGATGTCAGCCACATGCTTTTTATGAGTCATCTAAAAATGCGTTAAAGCCTGGAATGAAACTTGAATTTAATAACATATGGTGTGGTGTTCCACAAAGATGTTTCCTCAGGTCCTGCCTCTTGGTTAATGTCAAATCAAGTCACAAATTGACTTCAAAAGGCACTTTAGGAAGCTTTTTCAGCCGTCTGACCCTAAATTATGGCAAGGAAATGACGAGGGGACATGAAACCACAGAAGCCCTAAAACAAGGAAAAAACAATCAGAATTGAATATTCAGAATGGTTCCACAGAAATGTCTGGGGACTTTAAGAGGCAGGTTGTAGGTTTTGAAGCCAAAAGCTGCTTAAATTATATTTAACGGCTCTGAAATTCAAAACAACACGAATAATGTCTGGTGAAAAAAAACCCCAAAACATGTGCAGGGCCTGCAGAATCAGCACAGGAAGAAAAACTGGCATATTTAGTTTTTGTTTTTTTAAAATATAATTCATTTTCTCCGCAAAGTAATCTAATCTCATGTGCAGCTAGTTTTGACTCTGGTTGCCTGGTTGAAATCCAACAGCTGTCAGAGACTTTTCAGTGTTCATTGAAACTATTGTTCCTTGTATTGCTCCTCATTTGTAATGCAAAATTAAATTAGCAATGCACATTTAACTGTTCCTGACATGGCCCGTTGTACAGCTTGAGCCAGCAGAGTGAGCGGGAGAACACAACCGACCCTGTTGGTAGGACGTATCCTACAGTTTCCTTTAAGGCTTTGACAGTGGTCATTTTCCACAGCTTACAGAAGAGTAACGGTACCAGCAGACATCATAATAACATCTGTGTATGACAGGAGACGGAGACGCTTTTCTGCACTACATACGTATGCTTTCAGTCATATTAATCTGAGCCTGTTAAAATGGCTGATGGGCCAGCTGTTTTATTGATCCAGAGGCCCCGGCCATATTTGATGTCCTCCGAGCAGCTTATGTTTGAAGTCCAGCTGGGGCGTGTCGTAAATGTGTTATAAATCATGATTTAAGTGAAAAGGGGCCAATATGTTGCAGTAGATTGACAATGACGTCGGCAGTAAGACCGGAGGAGGGAGGTGGATTTATGAGCTGCTCTTTGGAGGCGCAGGTTCAGTCCCCGGCTGGACGCTCAATCTGTCTGAGCCGCACCTGAAAGAGCTCCTTCAAGGAAGTGGCAAGTGGCGCGCATAAAATGAAAGTCACGCTTTAGATTTGAGCCTCTCTGGCTTTCTTGTTTTCTCCGGTTGCCAGTAAAGGAAATGACTTGCAGAAGTCCAGAATCCAAGGGTTGTTCTTTGATGAGAGCCAAATGAGTGTGAAACCTAGCCAATAAAAAGGGCCAAATAGCTTTTGTACAGCTCCGGTTGAAATATAGTAAAAAAATCCATTTTAGTCATTTTATTTAAAGGTGATTTTTTAAAAGTATTCTCAATATCCCATGCATTGGAAAACACTGGTATGGTCAAGCAAAAGTCAATAAACTGCTCTCTAAGTTAATCAGTTTGGACTTCCCAGGAGAAAAAACACCCCTTAACTTTTCTTTCTCTGTTTTTTTTGTGTTTACCACAAACAGTGCTGTACCAGCACTGCCATGGCCTTTTGATGAGTACACTGGCAACACGAAGCAGTCAACTTCTGCAGCTGAGTAGCAGATTGTACAGGGAGAGTGTCGTCATCCTCCTCCGAGCTCACCTTTTCCTCAGAACATCGTGAACAGGGACAGCGAAATCGAGGTCAGGTCAGGTATTA